AATTGTTAATTTACACAATAATAGGATTGCATTGACGATTTTTTCTTAACTCATAAAAATCAAACAATTTGCTATCGATTGGTGATAAATTTTTTTGGAAATAATGAAATAGAGGGGATAACGCCTTTTTTTTCAGAGGTGATTCTCCAAAAATGTATTTTAAAAGAAGTACTAACTAGCAAATGTTTTTTATTAGCTCGCAATTTTCTTCAAAACTACTTCAATGAGGAAAAAAATAAAAATTTGGAATATCTATACATGAGGGGCTAATTGATCGGATCTCCATATTGAAACCATAGACGTATCCACGTGAAAAGCAATTTTCTAAAATTGGATTATTGAAAATTTTTTGAGCGTCCACTTTAGTTCATTCTATGTGGATTTATCAGGTGTCCATACTGCCCAATAAAACAATTTCAAATATTTCAATTTTGAAAAAAAAAAATTCTTTTTTGCAAATTTTTTAATATCCATTTTACCCCAGATGTCTATATTGCCCCAACCTCCTTTAATTAACGTAGCACTATAGCAAATACATCGTTTCAAAATGTTCTGAGAAACGCCGGTTCCTAAAATTCGATCCTACAAGTTCGTCGATCGTCCTTCGTGATGATAAAAATGCCTGCGTTAAAAATACTCTCGTCGACTAATGCCGGAATGACCTTCAGAACGTGTCCCACTCAATCATCCCCAATCATAATTTCTTAATCAATCAACTATTGAAATTAATTTTGTTTTCCTCTCACTCACCATTTCAACTGCCCTGTTGTCTCCGCAACACAGGAGAATCGTCCGGGCCTCAACAAGTGCCCCAAGTCTCCACGAAATCACTTCACTTCAATTTACACAACTCCCGTAATTAACGAAGATGATTTTTACGTATTTTTGTTAAATATAAAACCGCAGGTTTCCACAACAAAATGAGACTTCACGGGCGCGAATCTCCCGAGATGAAACTGAATCACTCACTCGTCGCCATATTTGTTTATTCCGTCGATCCGAAAGTTTTCTACTACTCTCGATATTATTTTCAAGAATTTCGCAGGCGATTGTTATTTTCGTGGTTGTTATTCTTCGAAGTCCACAACAATGTTGAAAAAAAACGGTGAAATACGAAAATAAACAAAGACATGCGTCAAGGAGCCCTCTGTCACGGTAGCCAACGTCAAGGTGACTCCACCATAGACGTAGTATGAATACATCTTGGATTTTTTTAGGGGAAAAGTCGACTTTCGACAAAATCGAATTTTTTCGACCAGTGAAAGTCGATTCCGACTATTCAAGTGTAGAGATGCAAAATGACCGTCATTTTTTAGATCGCGTCATATGACCAAAAAATGACGGTCTTGTGACGCACAAATTTTCCAACTACAAATGATTGTCACAAATCATTTGTAACCAAATTGTTGTCAAACCATCTATATAGTTGCATAATGACGGTCATAACTAATTTCCAATTTGTGACGGTCATGAATAAAACAAAATAGTTTCATCTATATGGATGAAAAATGACTATCATTTTTTCTTGACAAGTTGCGTCGGTCACAAGGGCGAGGGGGAATGTGACAGCCGTCATGAACGCCTCGTCCTGTGACGCAAATGACGGGTCATGAGACGCATTTGCATCTCTATTCAAGTGACGGGCTATCCAGAACTCTCAACAGTATGTGGGAAAAGTAAAAAATGAAAAAAAAAATTCTTCACCTGGGAGTCCTGGAGCCAAAAGTGTCATCCCAAGCAGTACAGTTCTGGAGGGTATCTGCAAGTATACCAAAAAGGCTGTCTAATGTCTGTCCAAAAAGGTAGCTTGTGTCTAGAAGTTACCTAGAAGTTGACTAAAAGTTATCGTATGACTGCAAGATACCTTTTGGACGGACATTAGTCAGCCTTTTTGGTATACTTTCAGATATCTTTCGCAAGGTTTGCTACTTGGGATATAAGCCCGGTGGCTTGGCGCAGTGGGTAAGTTCGTTGCCTCACATGCGAAAGGTTCCGAGTTCAAATCCCGGCCGGGTAGAATGGTGCGATCTAACCATTTAAAGTCTTGATCATCATCGCAGTATTCCCCTAACCCGGTCGAAGCGATGTAAAATAACGATTAAAAAAAAGTGTCATATCTTAGATTTTTTCAGGGGAAAAGTCAACTTTCGGCAAAATTCAGTAGCCATTTTCGTGGCTACGCGTGGCGCGCAGCGCCACGAAATAGTTATTTTCATCACAAGGTCCACAAAGTATTTTCTGACGAATGTGGCTTTGTAGGCCGAGCCGAAGGTGAGGCCTATAATCACATTCGTCAGAAAATACTTTTGGACCGTGTGATGAATGCAATTTTTCGTCAGAAGGCCCGTAAACCGCGATCAAACCGAGCGAAGCGAGGTTAGAATCGCGGTTTACCGGGTCTTCTCACGAAAATGGGGTTTTTCAGGTCCCGTGACACGAAAAAAATTTTTTTTCACTTGAGGCCAAATCTTGGATTTTTCCAGGCGAAAAGTCGACTTTCGGCAAAATCGTATTTTTTCGCCAAGTGAATGTTGATTCTTAATTACTACGTCATTAGTTTTTTTAAATTACTAATTAATAGTGTAACCCCTAAACACTGAGGAATGAATTACATTCACCTGCTAACGCATTACTATTGCTCTAGTTCGATTCAATTTGTAGTTCCGTTTGAAATGAGAATAATCCCGCTATCTCTCAACGTGCCGCTGCACTGAAAATATATAAAAAGTTTTACTCAGAATTCACTTCGAAATGTCCCTATTTAATAAGGATACTTCGTCCACTTTTTCGGAATTATTGAATAAAATGAAAAAGTTGAAAAAAAATTATGAATTGTCACAAAAATTGGCGGGAAAATTCAAAAAGCTTTCACAGTTCATAGAGGGCAGCACTCTGCAGTCCGTTTTAAATGGCCGCGAGAGGCGCTGACCCCCGAAAATTTGAAGTTTGAACGCGAAAGTCGTTACAACAGTCTCAACTCGGTGCAATGGTGGCGAACTGAAGCCCCCCGGGCGCGCGTTTGGAGCTCAAGCATCTTCGTCCCTTTAATCACCCGTCAATTCTCTTTTAATTGTGATTTTTCTGGCGCGCCGCAACGGGTTTCAATTGAGTGACGTTAAATCGACATTTGTTCATCAACTTTCTTCTGATTTTCATTGGATAATTGAATCAGCGTTGTTTACATCGCCTAGGTTAAAGGGGGTGAGATCATTCACGTCTGAACGAGTCTGTGGCTTCTGAAAATCCCTCCAAAATTGGTATTTAATGCCAATCACTGAGATTTCATGAAATACGAGGCTACTTTCGAGGTAAGTGCCTGATTATTCATTACAACTGTCTGAAAAAATTATTGATGAAAGAGAAAATCATTTGGGTTTCAATTTGTTAATTAAGAGTAATTTTTGGATAAAAAAAAATTCCAACGATTTTTCAATTCATTTGACACGTCTAGTGGAGGTTAATATTTTTTAGCCCATCACAATTTTTACAGAATTGTTTGTATTTCAGTAAAAAATTGGATGACTCACAATTACTTTTTTTGCTATATAGTGCACAAATAAATTACGCAAATGGTGTTCTCACATTTTTGAGATATTTAGAGCATTAAATAATTTTTTTGTGATTGAACTTCTTATAAAAAATTATGTTGTTTTGTTTAACTAACAAATCCATTGATCCTGAAATTATAGATTTTTTACAGAATTTGATGCAGAAAAAATTATTCAACAGCTTTTTCTTGAAATTAATGTTTTTAAATGTCTAAAGCATTGAAAAATTTTTTTTTACTTTCAAAACCCTCGAGAAACAAATTTTTGTCACAAAAAAATGAATCAACTGTCCACTCATTAAATTTTTCTTCAGAGTAGCTTCAAAATAGAATATCCAATGATTCTCTCACCCGTTAGAAAAAATGCAAATATTCTAGACAAGAAATTACTTTTCCGCTCGACGAAATGCCTTGAAAAATTTATTTTTCACCTGTAAAATCTTTATGTACTCGTGCTTATTAGTCAGTGTCAATTCCCTGACATTGCTTTCCCCTTTATCTACAATAAATTATTAAAAAAGTAAAAAATAAAAAAAAGTTCAACCGCTTTTTCTGCAGGTTCGAATGTCCATGCGACTATTAAGAGTCGTAAATATTTTTTAAATTTTAAACTCCCTTGAAAATAGAATATCCAATGATTCTCTCACCCGTTCAAAAAAATGCAAATATTCTAGACAAGAAATTACTTTTCCGCTCGACGAAATGCCTTGAAAAATTTATTTTTCACCTGTAAAATCTTTATGTACTCGTGCTTATTAGTCAGTGTCAATTCCCTGACATTGCTTTCCCCTTTATCTACAATAAATTATTAAAAAAGTAAAAAATAAAAAAAAGTTCAACCGCTTTTTCTGCAGGTTCGAATGTCCATGCGACTATTAAGAGTCGTAAATATTTTTTAAATTTTAAACTCCCTTGAAAATAGAATATCCAATGATTCTCTCACCCGTTCAAAAAAATGCAAATATTCTAGACAAGAAATTACTTTTCCGCTCGACGAAATGCCTTGAAAAATTTATTTTTCACCTGTAAAATCTTTATGTACTCGTGCTTATTAGTCAGTGTCAATTCCCTGACATCGCTTTCCCCTTTATCTACAATAAATTATTAAAAAAGTAAAAAATAAAAAAAAGTTCAACCGCTTTTTCTGCAGGTTCGAATGTCCATCCGACTATTAAGAGTCGTAAATATTTTTTTAATTTCAAACTCCCTTGAAAAACTCATTTTCAACTGTAAAATATTAAAATTCTTATCGCGCTTATTAGTCAACGTGAATTCCCTGACATATATTTCCCCTTTATCTACAATAAACTATTACAAAAGTAAAAAATAAAAAAATATTCAACCGTTTTTTGTCTAGATTAGATTGTCCATCCGAATATTAAGGGTCGCAAGTATTTTTTTGCTATCAAACGCCCTTGAAAAACTAATTTTTTACCTGTAAAATATTTAAACACTTATGTTTATTAATCAGCGTCAATTGTCTGACATTCTTTTCTCCTCATTTAGAATATATTATTAATCATGGATCGGGACATGGCGGAAGCCGCCATAAATATAATCAGAAATGACTCCGAGATACTGCAGAAAAAGCACGTAGAGATAATAAAATGTCTGGCTGAGAGAGAAGCCAGTGAGCTGGAGTTCCTGAGGAGCATAGTAGCCCAGATACCCTCAGAAGCCTCTGGCCCACTCATGCCAAAGACCCCCAAGGCCCCCAAGAGGCCACTCCAGAGGATCAAAACCATACCTGAGGACGATATTATGAATGACTCAGCACATGTCGTCGAGAAGTCAGAGAGTGAGGAGGAGGTGAAACCCACCAGGGCGAGACGTGCTGCCTCACAGAAGGCCACTGAGAGCATCAAGAAACAACAGTCCTTGACACTCAACACCAAGCTGAGGAGACCTTCTCATGAAGAAGACGTTATCGGCGAGGCTATCAAGGTTTTTAATCTTATTCTATCATTTTTTGGTCACACATTTTGAAAATGGTGAAATAATGAGCCCAGTTCACCCCTTCGTTATTGAATCATTTGGCTGATAGTAGGGATATTTTATAATTTTTTTAATTCGATTTTTGTTCGATAATTTAAGTCGAATTATGTTTAAATTCAAGGCGAAACTTTCTAAATACATTTTCCTTACTTAACAAACGATTTTTTAATAACTTTTATTTATAAAACAAACGAAATTTCCACAATTTTTTCATTAATAACAAATGATGAAATATGCTTTTTGAATAGGCATATTTTATGAATTTTTTTCATTCTATTTGATAATTTGTGTCGAATTATGACAAAATTTATTATTCCCTCCCTAGACGATTTTTTGATAATTTTTATAAAAGAAACGAAATGATAAAGGTGGGCAATTTGGAAACGATCTAATTCAAGAATTGCTATATTAATAAAAAAATTATGAAATATCCTTCTTGAATAGGCATATTTATGTCGAATTATGTTTAAATTCAAGGTGAAACTTTCCATATACTTTTTTCTTTCTTAACAAAATGATTAAAAAATTATAAATTTGAAATAACCCAGTTGTGACGCTATTATTCCCTGCCTAAGGAATTTTTTGATAATTTGTATAAATCGAACGCAATGATAAAATTGAGGAATTTTGAAACTAATTCAATAATTTCTTCATTATTAAAAGAATGTATGAAATATCCTTGGTGAATTGGAATACTTCATGAAATTTTCTCATTCTTGCATTCGATAATTTACGTTGTTTTCAGGGATAGCCATATCCATAAATTATAAGTACTGTTAAATTATTAAATAGTCAAATTTCGAATTATTCATCAATCAGTAATTGAGTTAGGAAGATTGACGATTATTTGGATAATCTGAAATCCGTTATAAGAAAGTATTATCTATTTAATAGAAAATTTATAGTTCCATATTTTCAAATATTTAATTCAATAATTCATCATCAATTGGAAATTTAGATTATCAATTACTTTATTATTTTTTTATTTCGATTAGTATATTAAACCCTTGCTCAATGTAAGTCGGAAATTCTTTTAATATTGAAGAATCGGAAGATAGACACCATCCCTGGTTGTATTGTCTAAATTCAAGGTAAAGCTTCCCAAATCGTTTTTTTTAATCTACAAAATGACTAAAAAATGATAAATTCAAAATGCCAGTCACGAAACTGTTCCCTCAACACCAACTCCCTTCGCACTATCGTCTAGAGAATTTCATCAAATCAAATTAAAATAAATTAATTTTCATGATTTTTCGAAAAAAAGAAAACGCTGAAATGAGGGAATTTCTCACCTACCGATCCACTTGCCTAATTCCCCCAAAAAATGCACGAAATACAGCCTCTTGCCATTGTTTCGCCCCCCTAAAACTTTAAAAATCCCCAGAACCAGGCCGCCCGCAGCAGTCGCTCGAAGCGTCCCATGACCTCCCTCTCGGGTTCCGAAGAGGACGACCGTCCGCCCCCGAAGGTCGCCAAGACGGGCAAACAGGACTCGAAGCGTCGTCCCAAGAAGATCAAAGAAGAGCCCGCCTCCGAGAAGGACTCCTCTCCCGAAAAGACCGGTCCCCCCACTCCCCCAGTCCGCCTGACCCGCAGTAGCAACCCCACCCCCCAGGAGCCCCCCAACAAGACCCCAATAATCATCGACGAGACCCTCGAGCTCCCCGAGAACGACACAATAACCGACCCCTCCCTCTACGAAGACGCAGTAGGCAAGTCAATCCCCATGAACTCGACGATGAACCCCAACACAACCATGACAATCGATCGCAAGATGATGAACGCAACGGTAGTTCTTGAGAAGATAAACGAGACAATAACGATAAAGAAGTCGTCAATAAACTCCCAGCCGACGTCTCAAAAGACGAGTTTGCAGAGCGTCCCGATGATCTCCCCAGTGGTGGCCCTGGAATCAGTCCTGACTCAGCCCAAGCGAACGCTCCAGAACAAGCTGGCAGCCCTGAAGGCATCCCTAGCAAACCAGGAGTTCGACGCAATCCTGACAGACGACGAGTCCTCCCCGGAGCGCAAGGGCCTCCCAAAGAAGCCAAAACGCCTCCCCGAGAAGTTGAAAAAGCCCCGCAAGGTCTCGTCCTCAGAGGAAGAGAGCCCCTCGACCCCCCAGAAGATCCCTCGAACAGACTCGAAATCCAAGCCCCTGCGGGACCTGAAGTACAAGTCCAACGCGCTCTTCAGTCCCTACGCCAAAGAGTCCGTGAAGAGGAAGGTCGAGGCGTTCGAGCAAGCAGTCCAGAACTCCCCGAAGCAAGATATGGACCCGCCCACGAGAGTCACCAGGACCAAGACAAGAGCGATGGCAGCAGCTGCCGTTGAGGAAGTGCCCCACGTCCAGACGCTGGCGCAGAAGCTCGCCAGGAAGTCCCTGGCGAAGGCCAAAAAGATCTCCCTGACACGTCAGAAGCGCGAGAATGACGAATCCAAGGAGAACCTTTTGGCCTCAGCGACCAAGACCAAGTACTTCCCAATGCCCAACGAGAAGCTGACGATTAAGCAGAGTCAGAGGACAACTCCGATCTCCAAGTCTCGTATGCAGATGCCAATGTCGGTGAATAGAATTCATCACACACCAGCCTCGCACATTCCTCCACCAAAATCCGTGACGGCTTCTAAAGCGCACGGGGTGGGATCGACGGAGTCTCTGGTTGCGAGTAAACCATTGTCCAAGTCAGGATCGATGGACAGTCTGGCTGAGAAGAAGAGGCTGGCGGAGGAGGACGCGAGGAAGAAGAAGGAGGAGAACCTGAAGGCGTTGAGCGAGGAGAAGAAGAGGAAGAGGGAGGAGAAGGAGCTGAAGAATAAGATGGCGAGGGAGGCGAGGGAGAGGCTGGAGCAGCAGAGGCGTCTCCAGCTGGAGAGGGAGAGGGAGGACAAGGCTAGGCAGGCGCTGATCGCGCAGGAGAAGATGAAGGAGGAGGCGGAGAGGAAGAAGCTGGCGCAACTGCAGAGGGCGCAGGAGAAGGAGGAGAGGAGGAGGCAGGAGGAAATGATGAGGATTCAGAAGATTCAGGAGCAGGAGGAGGCCGAGAGGGCGCTTGCCGAGCAGAAGAGGAAGGAGCAGGAGGCCGAGAGGAAGAGGCTCATCGAGGCCAGGAATCAGCAGATGGCGGCCTTGGAGGCGCTCAAGTTGAAGGCCCATATGATGGCCAAGGCTAAGCAGAGGGTCGAGCAGAAGATGCAGGAGCCTCAGGCCTATGTCTTGGACAGCGATCCTGATGACGACGAGAGCGATGATGAGAGCAGGCCCAAACATCCGATTCCTCAGTGGGCGAGGGTCGATGTGAGGAGGGGACAGCTGGACATGCAGCAGTTTATCCCGATGGAGATTGTACTCAAGTTCTTTGGGGCGAAAAAGTGCACCCCGGATTTGAGCGAACTTTTTGTGGGGATCAAGACCGAGAGGCTGAAGAGAACTTCTAGTGCTAATTGGAAGGCTGCGCCGAGGTTCTCTATGATGGAGGCTATTGAGGATTGAGGGAGAGGTTTAGGTGATGATGGGCTTTGATGGGGGTTTGGAGATATGGGGATGAGGATATGTTGAAAAATATTGGGGGGTGAGACGGAGAGGATAAAGAAGCTAGTGCTACACCCAAAAAAAAATTTCTAATTTCAGTTTGTTAATGTGAGAATTAAAAATGTAAAATTGAGGTCTGAAATTGGCTATTTGGAATTCAATAAAGGCTCAATTTCAGATTTGAAAATTTCAATTTAAAACCAGTGAAAGTCTCGAGATGAGAGTTTCCAGAGTTTCAAGTTGAAATTCGAAAGTCTCAAGTTAGAATTTTCAAAAGGATCAAATGGCGATTTTCAAGTCTCGAGTTGAGACTTTGTAATCTTGATTTGATCCTTTCGAGTCTTGATATAAGATGTTTAAAATCTCAAAGTAAGGATTTTTTTGGGTGTAATTGGAAGGCTGAATGTTGATTAGGTGATGATGGGGTTCTGAAGGGAATTTGGGAAATGTGGAGAGGGAGAATGAGATAAGTTGAGGAGGATCAATTGAAAAGAATCTATGCAAATTTTGGTATCCTCATTGGATATCGAGATATTGATAAAAAACTGTTTCTCTTCGATGATTGCAAAGAATCTGGAAATTGATTAATTTTTTTGGAAGAATGTCTCGGAAACTTTGGGAGATGTCAACTATGAGAGATACACTCGCAAAAGTTTTGGGATGGCTGTTGGAGTCTGGGACATTTGCCTGGAACTCGATTTTGAAATTGTGAAATTGAGCAACTTATCTTGTGTCGATCCTTCAATAACAGATCGTTTGGTTGGGGAAGGGATCAATTTGACTGTAATTGTTTTTAATCGATGGATTCCTTCAACTTGTAGTCGAAAATTGTAATTGTATTTTTGGGACTGGTACAGGGCCCAGAGCTGAGGAGAAGCAGTCTTATTATGATAGTTGTAAGGTTCCATGCTCCTGTATTATCATATATTTAATTCAGAATGTTGTCGTATAATAAAGGATCTACTTTATGTATTCAATTAATTTTTAGATCTCATTTTATATGGATTCAGTGAATTTCTTGGTTTGTGGTTTTTTCATTTATTTCAATTCGTTTTTTTTGTTTTGTTTTTTTTTTAAGAAGAGACCTCAATGTTGTCGAAAATCTAATAGCAGAGGACCTTCTTCGTGTATTCAATTGTGTTTGAGTTTCATCGTTCATGCATTCAATCAATTTCTTCATTTGTGGTTTTTTATTTTAAGGAAAGCCTCTTGGGGAGGGGCAAGAGGTCAGGGGTTTTCAGATGACTGTAAACTGGAATCTGAAAGAAAAAAAGATGAAAAATATCAAAGCGTGGAGTTGATTTTCTCTTTTTGAAATTTGATTAGATTTTTTTTCATTACGTAAGCAAGTGTGTTATCGAGCTTTGGCTTCTCATCGACCTTAGGACGAGGCCCAGGGCTGTAACTTTGCCCAAGAATTGGCTCTTCCAATCTCTGTCCGTACAACAAGTGACGCTCATGATCAGGAACTTCTTTCATGCTCTCCATTTCCTCGAAGTCTTCGATTTTGGCACCAACGTATCCACCTTCAAACACCTAGTGATTGAATAGAAATTTATGGGATTAAATTCTATTGAATTTTGAGGATTAATACTTTCAGAAAGACGATTGATCTTTTTTTGATCTTTTTAAGAGGCCTCAGGAGTGAAAGAAGATCGCTTTGGGCCTTGAGTTATCAGCCAAAAGGAAATTAAAAAATCAGAATAATAGCTTCAAGAAATTGTTCCTTTTCTAGGAATTGAATGACACGAGGTTCAGCTGATCTGAAGAGGATAAATTATTTCTATAAATGTTCAAAAATACGAGGTGGTTAACGAGCATTGGCGCCACCATCTTGTTTGCATACCCCGCAAGGAGCTTTCAAGATGGCGGCGCCTCCACCTCGCATTTTCGAACAACTTTTAAAATAATTTATCCTCTCCGGATCACCCTCAATTCACTCGATCCGGTTTCTATAAGAGGAACTAATTTTTTAAGCCATCGTGCGTATTTTTTCATCCTTTGGCTGAGAACTTATGGCGCAAAGTTTTCCCGGCATTTCAGTAGTTATTTTTCACTGCCAAGGCTTCTTAAATTATTCTCCTTAATGTTGGATGTTAAATTCTTATTAGGGAGGGAACCTTAATTGTTGTTGAAGAGCCAATTCGTTTCACATCTGGGGGAAGACTGTAATCTTTCAGGTATTCTGATACTGGTACATCCGGTAGAAGTTTCCTCCACGGTTTCAATGTTCCAAAAGTCGAGATATAGCGCCCGGATATGGACCACAGCTTCACAGTGTGATCTCTGCTTCCACTAGGATTGACGCAATTTCAGTATTCAAACGTGATATTATGGTTACGCGGAGGGAAATATTCAATAAAAATTACGTATCTTTTCTGTGATTCCGGAGCGAAATGTGCTTGTAGGAAATTTTACGGAACTGTCACGAAATTTTTCCAGAGCGTTCCGTAATTTTTACGGAAGCTGAGAGTTCACAGTATCACGCACGATAAAACACAGAAAAACCTAGTGAATTTGCTAGAAAATTCTATTAGTTTTTATACCGATTCTATTGAAAAATTATGTAGTCTAACTGTACAATTCTTTTATAGAAAATTTCCAATAGAAGCTATTTCATGGACAAAACAATAGAATTTGATTTCTCTATAAGATTTTTTTTATTTTTATGATTACATATTCCGTAGGAATTTCTCAACACAAAGAATTTGAGTGAACCTTCAGATTTGGATGAGCGTGAATGAAACAAACTATCATTTTTGTCCAACATCCCAAATGAAAAAAAAAATAGAAAAACCTAGCGCTTTCTCTAAGAAACTCTATTGAATTTCTAATGTTGTGGAGAAAAATTAATTCTAATTCATAGAATTTTTCTTTTTTTTTTGGTTGTGGAAAATTGAATTTCTAATGGAACTGGATAGGAATTTCCTTGCCTTTTGACTTACCTGATGATGATCTTAGCTTCCGGGAGGTATTGAACCGCAGTGATGGACTTCGTATGACCTTTGAACGAAGTCAACAGAATCGGTAGCGGCTGATCTTTAACTGCGCGCTTCGCACGACCCGGAACCCTATCCTTCCAGAGGAATGGAAATTCCAGTCTCAGGGAGGGCATATTCACCCTCGGGGGATTGGTAATCCCGTAATTCCGGATGTACCAGACTTTTATGTACCCAAATAAATGTCCTGAGCAGAACAATCATTGAGCAGAAATTAAGAAAAAGATTATTCACAGAAAAACCTAGGAAATTTTCTAGAAAATCCTATTAGATTTCTATGTCATGTGTGCAGATTTAATGTCTGGGGTAAGGAGCAATATGTTGAGATTTACTTTTTAGGTAATATGGTTTATAATTTTTGTTTCTCATCCAAATCCCATCCAGTCATTTTCTATGAATGTAAAACAATGGGAAAAAATTGTAATCACAATAATAAAAAAATGAATGGTTCTGAAAAATATGGATGGTTTTTTAACTATATATTATCTTGTTTGATTTGGTTTGTTTTTAAAAATTAACTAGGGGACTGTACTGCTCCCTATAGGGAAGAGTGAGGTAAAATGGACACTTTAGACTTTTTTTTTATTATTCATAACTCAGAAACAAATTTATCAATTGAGCTCAGTTTAGGCTCGTCACAAAGGGGAAATGATTGTTCTTTGTTTTAAAAAAAAATATATTAAATTTTATCGATATTTCAATCCCTCATTAACATTTTTAAAAAAGTCAAAAATGTCCGTTTTACCTCAACCTCCCCTACTACAAAAAAGTTCGCAGATGCAACTGACCATAAATACATAGAAATCATTTGTAAATACCTTGAAGAATGTGAATTAAAAGTCTAAAATGAAAAAGGCTACCAACTGTAATAAGTGTAACAAATTGAGAAATGTAAAATAGTAATTCAACGACAGTGTGAATAATCTGTAATTAGGATTCCAGTACTTTAAATAATAAAAGAAAAATTAACTAGGGGACTGCGCCCCCTGCTCGCTCTACTCGCCAACCCCCATATGACCCCCTTGATCCTTATTCTAGCCCTCATGACCATTACCATTTTGACCTTTGTAACCCGTAATTTTGGAGTCTTAATTACGAGTACCAAATTTTTATCACCAGAAGTCGATTTGGATTTCTCTCTATATAAATAATAATATAAATGAAAAAATAATGCGAAAAATTCAGGGGACGCTCAAGTTCAGGGGACGCTTTAATTCAGGGGCCTCTTAAATTCAGGGGACGCTCAAGTTCAGGGGCCTCTCAAGGGTGCCAAGTGAGTTTAGCGATGACCTTGAAAATTGACATTCACCAACAAAGTTATAATTTTTTTATTAATAGTATTCGACAGATGGTGAACATCGGTGACAATTTTAAAATTTTAGAACTTATGGGTACCGAGAAATTAAATAAACAAAATCAATCTTATGTACGGCCTCTTATGAAGTTTTGATTAAATTGAACGGTTCACCCCCCTAGGAACTCAAGAAAAATTTGAAAAAATTTGAAGATATGAGGAAGGATGTGTCAAATGTGGTGGCGACAAAAAACAATGGGGTACCGGGGTGAATAAAAGAGATATTTCACCCCCCCTTCTCATTTGATCCCATGCTTTCTCGAGCTTCGTCACGTAACATAGAGGATTTTCCGCATTTATTTTCTAGATGTCTAGTTCCGTTTGCGGGTTTGAAATTTCGTCAAATAGATGAATATATATGTCTCCAATGGTGGAGGGAAAGAAATTTTTTTTTTGAATCTTTTTTCAAATTCACTTAGCATCCTTAAATTCAGGGGACGCTCAAATTCAGGGGACGCTGGGTGCCTATACGGGGGTTCCTATATGGGGAGATGCCTGTATTTATAAGGGATGTCTATATGAGGGGATGGTCATAAAGGGGATATCGATATTTATGGAGGATTATTATATTAGGGGGTGCTCATATGGAAGATGTTTATGGGTACGGTCACACCGCTGTGGTCACACGGACGGGGGGGGGGGAGCGAGCGAAGCGAGCGAGGGAGAGCGAAGCCCCCCCCCCGGGTTTTTATAATATAGAGAGATAATAGGCCCCTGAGGAAGAGCCTGGAAAGAGGGTCAGAATATTGGGCTTCATCCAAATGACTTGATCATTTTTTATCATTTGGACATCACAAACTTCATCACCTCGAATTAGCTAATGACCGCAGGGGCCAATAACGAAATAACGAAATAATTGAACATCTATTGAACTTCCATTGAAAATTCTATTAGTTTTCCGAAATTCCACTGCGCTTTTGTTACGAGAAAATGATTAATCGACGGTATTCAATAGGAAAAGTCAATAGAATTCCATTTTTCTATATAACTTATGCAATTCAGATATTTTATGTAGAATTTCCTCAGCTCAAGTTTTTTCGTTTGATTTTCTTGATGAAAAGCAAAGAAAAATCAAAGGAAAATACCTGAAAAATTTGAGCCGAGGAAATTCTACAGAAAATATCTCAATACATTAAGTTATATAGAAAACTCGAATTCTATTGACTTTTTCTATTCAATATTTTCTAGTAGAAAATTCAACAGAAATCCAATAAAATTGTCAAGTGAATTCGCTAGATTCTCCTATGAAATTCGTTCGTGCGTGACATTTATATACACAGAACAAATTTACATATCTTAATCCACAATTCAAGTATTCAGGTATTTAAAAAAAACGCAGAGAGAAATTACGGATTTTTTTTATAGAATCATCGAAAAGAATTTCAATAGGAATCGAACAGAATTTCCTAGTGACTTCATAGGTTTCTCCATGAAATTTTTCCTTAAAAATAAACGCAAACGAAAATTCCAAGATGAATAATATCCCCAGACCTGTAATTAAATAATCGTTCTCTGGATCAGTAGCCATGCAAATGCAGCAATCCCGCGGGACATGTTTAACATTAAACGCTTTGAGGAATCCCCCCACTACATGATGACTCCAGACTTGGATGAAACCGCTGTCCAAAGCCACAAGCAAACTTCCCACGTTGGGTTCCATATCCCTAGAGCAGAGGAACATTACACATCTGACTGAAACTGTTCGTATCACTGCGAGTGCTGATTTCTCCTGCGATTCATTATTTCTCTTGGGGTCAAAATTCACTGATTTTTCTTGATCCTCTGACATCTCCCATCTTCTCGTTTTGTAAACGATGTTGTACCTATTATGTAACAGTATAATAAATTATTTGTTTTATTATTCATTGTCATTGTTACTTATATTGCTACTATTTATGATTTCTCATTTCTTATTAACTCCCCGATTTATATTAAGTAGTTAATGTAATGGCCCTGAAATTCAAAACTATTATTATTATTATTATTATCATTATTATTATTATTCGCGTAGTGATTGACGAGTTGATTAAAATAATAATATAGGCTGATTTGAAGTAATCAAATTTGCTCGCACGAAAAAATTTAATAAAAGAATTTAGCGAATTCGCTAGACAATTTTATTCGATTTCTATTGAGTTTTCCATTAAACTTTCTATTAATTTTTTGCCGATTCGTTTGAAATATTCAATAGAAAATCCTATACAGAAGAAGTCAATAAAATTCGATTTTTCCTGGGCGCAATTTTTTTTCATTCTACACGGAGAGAAATTTTTTAGAAAAATTCTAATGCTAGCACGGGAAAAAAGGCGCAAAGTGACGGGAAAAAATTCCAGTGCCGGCACTAGAAATTTTATTGGGGAAAACGTGAATTTTTCCTCATATTTCTGTGCAAATTTCACAGAAATCCTCAGAAATTTTACCAGAAATATCAAGTAATTTTACCTTAACAGCACTAGAATTTTTCACAGCCGGTGGATTGTAATTTTTTCGAGTACTCGTAGTAGAATTTTTATAGAAAATTTATCTCCGTGTATTGTTCTGTTCTTTTCATCAAGAAAATCAAACGAAAAAACTCGAAAAGAAAATTCCATAGAATAAATTGTGTAGAAAAATCGGATTCTATTGACTTTTTCTATCAAATATTTTCTATTGAACATTTCAATAGAATCGGCTAAGAACTAATAGAAAGTTCAATAGAAATAGTGCCTATACCTTTCCGTAGGATTTTCGACTTGATAACGCCTGTAAGGCTGTCCCGTCTCCATCCTCCACATAATCAATTCCCCGTTGTAAGAGGCTGTAACTAAAGCCTGGGGAAACCTGACAGCCGCGCACAGGATTTCCTCGGTATGTCTTTTCTCCCAGGACTTCCGGTATATTCCAGTCTCAGTGTCGGCGAATTCTACGATGCAGCCATTCCATCCCGCGCATAGGATTCGATTCTTCAGCCAAATTATTCCAGTTATACCGCTTCGAAAATATGAGGAAAGCAAGCATAATTTTTGAGTGAAAAATTATTCAATTCAATTCAATTTAATTCACTCTCCTTGATGTTGCAAAAGCATTCTTTGTTTTATGTCCACACTGGCCTTTCATCTCCTTCTAATTGTCAGTAATAATATCAATTTCCGCACTGACCTTCACTTTTCTTCATCCGGGGATTGGTATTGGCCCTTCCCCAAACGCGTAAAATTGAAAATCACTACGGAAAAATATCGTTCATGACTAGTGCCGTGGGGTTTTTTACTCGCGTGGAGTTGGCGTCTGAGCCGAAGGCGAGGACTGGCCAACCATGCGACGAAAAAACCCCCATGGCACTCGTCCTGAAATATACTATTTTCATTTTTATTTTAATTCAATTTCATGTAACGCCTATATTTAATTTTGGGCTATTATCACATTTTACTACTAGTCCACTAGGTTCTTTCGTGAAAAAATATTATTTTTCCAATTATACAATGGAAATACATTTTTCAAAGAGTTTTCATTTGTTGGCAATCGAGAATTTCATTGAATTGACTCATTTCTAATTATTCAATTGAATTTTCACTCATTTGGGGGATAATTACATGAATAATACCGATTTTTGCTCATTTTCAGTGCTTGTTCCACTTAAAAAAATAATAATCGCCGAACTACGAAGAAAAAGGCAAACTCTAATTGGCGCCAAAAATTCTTTTATCTTATTGACAATTTTTGGTGAAAATTTCAGATTTTTTTTGCAATTAACGATGAAAAAAAAAACGTTTTCTTGTATAAACCCGTTGAAACTGAAGATAATGCTATGTATGACGTTTCATTTTGAAGGGTTTTTCCATGTTCTTTGAGTGTGCCAACGAGCGATTTGATGGCTTGAAACCCCGCAGAAATATTGAAACCAATTTGGAAAGAATAATTTTCCCGAGGCTTTACTGCAGTTTAATCTAAAAAATCGGAAACAGTGCGGCGCGGCGCTCATAGTGCGACCAACGGGGCGTTAACATGTCCCACCTTGTACCGAAAGTCACTCAATAAGTCTACCTTTAGCAAAAACTTGAATTTTACCGCTGTCTCCCCTTAATGTGATAATTAGCGTTTTAATTATTGGGAAATTTACCATTGATCCTCTACGACCATATTCTTAATGCAAGACCCAGAATTGAAACTCCAGATTTTCAAAGATCCATCCCTCCCTCCGGTGATCAACAGCTGATAAGAATAATCGAAGGTGGCAGCGGTGATTTCGATTTGCTCGTAAGATCCCAGATTTTTCTTGCTATGAGCATTTGTGATGCAGTGGATCCGCTTTCCCGTCCAGGGGTCCCAGTACATTATGCATGAATCAGTTCCAGTGGAAACAATCTTGATAAAGTAATGAATAATTTTAACGGGTTTCAATTTTTTTTATTATTATGCAGCATTTTACTCTCGAGCTTTTAAGCTCACTTTCAGGGAAATTCATGAAAAATTCAAAATTTTCAACAATTATTGTTGGGATTTTTCAAAGCAATTTAATTCACAGAGGACCGCTGTTTTAACGACCCGGGAAAATACTAACCCTGATAGATCAAACCCAGAGTTAACTCTGAGTCAACTCTGGGTTTATGGAAAAAACCCAGCGAAGAAAGAGAAATTCAGGAAAATTCCCATGAACCCAGAATTAACTCTGGGTTTGATTCATCAGGGAACATATATTGCTCAGTTGTAGTTCAGTCTATCACGTGTACTCTGTCGGGAATTAATATATTGGCTAGCCTGAGTGTGATCACTAGCTCTTGAGCTCTCGTATCATCACCATGTGATTATTCAATCTTTTTTGTATCCATTCATATCTTATCCATCTTAAAGTAAATACATTCATGTTATATTAAACTAGGGGGCTACGCCTCCTGCTCGCTCCGCTCGCTAACCCCGGGGGGGCTTCGCCCCCCCGCTCGCTTCGCTCGCTCCCCCCTCCCGGTGGAGCGAGTGAGTGTGAGGGAGGGTTTTTCCGATAGCTCTATACATACTTTACCATAAAAGGCCACATACATATAATTCCCCCCCCATTAATGGGCACCCCCCATAAGTGGGCACCCCGATATATAGGCACCCCCATATATAGGCACCCCCCCATACATGGACACTCCTCATATATGGACACTCCTCATATATGAACACCCCCCGTATATGGGCACCCCTTATATATATAGGCCCTAAATTATCACCATTTCATGTCTTAACAGAAGTCGATTTGGAATTTTATAATATAGAGAGACATCACACAGTTAATTATTGAGTTTACCCTAAAATAACAATTATCATAAAAATCGAATCAGCCAATGGAGCTATCGTAATCATATTTTAACTTCGACTTAATGGCATTAAAACAAACATTTTAAGCTGTGATTGGATTCATTTGAGGCATGATATTCAAAGAACTCCCCGGAATTCTGACTTTCAAAAAAAATTTGCAAGACGCTAATTGTTATCGCCTTCATCTTCTAACTCGTCAAAAGGACATCCAAACAAATTTTTTAAGCCATCATTCAATCAATTCAGTACATTTTTTTTAGTTATCGTGGGACAACCCATTTTCGAAAAAAATCGAAAATTAAACTAGTGGATTGGGCTGTTGGCCGCTCGCTGCGCTCGCTCCCATTGCGGGTGGGTTGGTAGCGGATGTATTCATGTGGGTCTGACCCGTCGGACGGGTCGCACCAACAACTTCCCGATATTATTATTCCTCCCATTTTGACTAAAAGAATCCTTTTCAACTCTCAATACTCTGTTTATTTATTCATTAGAAACCCTAGTCTGAGCGATTTTCAAACTTTTCTCCAGGAAATTTTGGAAAAACCACTGAAAAAACCACTGGAGTTTTAGCAAATCCTGGAGAAATCACTGGAGTGATTGACTCTAGTGATATCCTGATGTTGACAATGCCAATTACGCCATTTATACCGGAGAAATACTTATCTTAGCCATTTTCAAACTTTTCTCCAGGAAATTTTGGGAGAACCACTGGAGCGAATCACTCCAAAATCTAATCAGGTCTAAGTTACATGAAGACCTTTCGATTGTGTCATCATCTTGTTCGCGCGATTCATTCGGGAGAAATCGTTAACGAAAATTCCGCAACATACAGACCTACACACACACACACACACAGACATGTTGTTTAGAAGTGTTCAGAAGTGTTTTAGACACCGAGAAACGTGGAGAAATCGCAAAAAACTAATGATTCATTTTCAGTGTGATTACAATAACTACCCGATAGATCGGGAAGTTAAAAAACTAGTCAATGAATTAAATTCTAATAAATGGCGATTGATAGGGCTCACCAATACGTATATTAGAAAAAAAGATTCAATTTCATTCATTCGGACGAGGCAACTTAGATTTAAACGATTACAAAGCTTCCATTTGTAAGCAAAAACCTTCGGAAATTTATATAGAAGAATTTTTTTAGAAAAGAAGCTTTTAAAAATGATCTCTACTAAAAAATAAAAATCCACGACTTTTTTCTGTTTGTCAAATTACCATTTTGAAAAGTGGATTGTAAACAAGACAGGTAATTCCCTTCGTGTGGGTCTCGCCATCGGAAATTTCCTCGTCGATAACCCTCTGACAGGAGACAAGAGCAATCATCATGCTGGCAATTATCAATTTCTGAGTGACCGAGTTGTAAATCACTGACATTGGAGTTCGCTCACTGAGCTCGCTGGGAAGGCTGTTGTAAGTTTGCACACACGACTGGGAGGATATGTCCCAGACCTTGATGCATCGATCTTTAGACAGTGAGTAGGCTAATGTCCCGGGGGGTTGGATTGCTATGAAGCAGATTGGGGATCGATGACCTCGCAGAATTGCGTTAGGTCGGTACGGGACGAAGGGGTTCCAGGCGCGAATCAGGCAGTCTGGCCCTCCGGTCATCAACAGCTGCTTTTCTAGGATGATTTTTTGAGGATTAACGTCAGGGATGGCCATCAATATTCCAATTCTTCAATATTAAGAGAATTTCTGTTGGAATTCATGCCTGAATACAAAAATTAATTTCTTAGTTTAGTTAAACATTTTCTCTTTTCCACCCAAACACTCAGGGTGACATTTATGGCTTTTCTTAGAAAATAGAGACGTGAAGAAAAACAGTCCTCATGGTGAGTCACAAAGGAGAGGCTGAAGAAAATTGAAACAAGGGCCTTTTGTCAAATGGGTCCAGAGAGTGAAAACTCTCATGACTTTTAGTTAGTCGTCCTAGAGACTTCGTTGGAGAAAGATATACCTTCTGCGTGCGATCATTAAAGAGTTTTACTTTGAAGAATAAAACTAATGTGTTTTTATTGAGTATTCCTACACATAATCCAATAATTTCCGACTTACATTAATTAAGGTTTAAATATACTAATCGAAATTCAAAAATAGTAAAATAATTGATAATCTAAATGTTCAATTGATGATGAGTTGAATATTTACTTAATTAGACTAGATAAAAACAGTCTTATTATAATTAACGAGTTTCTTGTCAAATGTTCCACAAAAATTTGAAGTGTATCGTTAATAGTTCTAAGCTACCACAACATCTGTAAATAATTCACATGGTCTCATGTTTGTAATAAGAAATATGTATGCAAATTGAACTGTAATTGTTTAGAAATCGTCAATCTTCCTAACTAAATTACTGATTGATAAATATTTCGGAATTTGAATATTTAAATTGACGATTACTTCAATAATTAAAATTTAAGAGTGATATTAACGAATTGACTATTTAATAATTTAACGGTAATTGGAATTTATGGATATGGCTATCCCTGATTGACGTAGTGGAAAATTCAATAGAAACACGTTCGTATATGCAAACGCATTCGCTAGGAATCAGGAACTTGCGTGAATTTTTTTCAATTTTCTAATCTCAAGTTTGGGATCTAAATAATTTACTTTTCATTCACAAACGTTCGAAACATTGCTCGTTGCAATCGAATTCGCTTGAAAAATAATTCTAACTCTAATTTTATTGGAGAAATCCAATAGAATTAGTTTTTCTATTAATTTTATTCACTAGGTTGTTCTCCGCAATTGTTTCATGTACAGGCGCTTGGATGAAAATATTTAATGAAAGAAAAAAACCTTCAAAGACAGTGAAACAAGAGATTCCCATGTGAACTCTGAATTCATATCTCATTTTGGTCCCACTAGGATCGCTCAGCAGTAAAGAACAATTCGAGCATTTGGCGCAGGAGAGAAATCCTCGAAGCCCTCCGTAGTACTTCACTTCCGAGACCCAATCGCTGTGGACGCGATTGAATTCCGTCACGACGAGGCCATCGATGTGTCCCTTGAAAGTAAAAATCAATACTGCACGCATGAAAAAATTCAATAGAAAACCTAGCCAATTCGCTAGAAAATTATATTGGAATTCTATAGGAATTCTATGCGGTTTCTATAGGATTTCTATTGGAATTCCATCTAAAAATTCAATTTGTTTTTTGCGCTGATTCCAATGGATATTCGATAAGAAAAAGTCTATTGACTTCGAATAGACTAATAGATTCGAATTCTATAGATTTGGAATTTTCTCTTGAGATTTTTTCTATAAGAATGCCAGGGCATCAATTTTCTAAGTTTTTTCCACTCGGATTCTGTAATGCAAAATAAAATAAAAATCAGTGAAAAAAACTTAGGAAATTTGTGTTCAATAATCTCTAAAAGAAAAAATCTCAAGAGCAAAATTACAACAAGAATTCGAAATCTATTGACTTTTTCTTATCGAATATCTAATAGAATTAGCGCAAAAAACAGAATTTTTTGAAAGAATTCCAATAGAAATCCTATAGAAACCCCATAGAATTCTTATAGAATTCCAAGAGAATTTTGTAGCAAATTCGCTAGCTTTTCTATTGAATTTTTTCATGCGTGTGAACTTGGTGGTGAAAGTGATCATGAAAGGAGGAAGCGGTTGAGTACTTTGAGGAGACTTTCGTAAGTGGCTTCCAAAGTCTCTCGCCGAGGGTTTTGTTTGAAAGGTCCTCTGTCGAATGGCGAGAATGCTATTACTCTCACGGAGCCCCCAGTGTCCCCGAGAATGATGTAGGAGTTCTCTCTTATGTCCTCGCTGAAGTAGTAAGCCATGCAGATTACTGCATCTCGCAGACTCGTAATCTGAGGGTAGAAAAGCCAGGCGGAAATGAAGCCAAAGTACTCGGATAGTACTTTGGCTATTTTTTCACCAGTGAAATGCTTTTCTATTTTTGTACTCGAGCATTGGAGCACCCATTAAAATAATTCATTTAAGGCCCGGGTGAATTATCTTTCGAACGTTCACGGACGAAAAAATTTAATAGAAAAACCTATCGAATTCGTTAGAAAATTCTATTGAAGTTCTATTAAACTTTCAATTAGTTTTTGGCCGATTCTATTGAATGTTCAATAGAAAATATTCAGCAGAAAAAGTCAATAGAATTCAGTTTTTCGATTTAACTTATTCTATTTAGATATTTTCTATAGAATTTCCTCGGCTCAAATTTTCCAAGTTTTTCCGTTTGATTTTCTTGACGAAAATAAAAGAAAAAGGGAGTAAAAAAACTTAGAAAATTTGAGTCGAGCAAATTCTATAAAAAATATATGAAAAGAATTGTTAATTTAAGAGTTATTATAATTGTTAATTGTTAAATATATGAAAAGTTATATAGAAAAATAGAATTCTGTTGACTTTTTCTATTGAACATGTCAATAGAATCAGCCAAAAACTAATAGAAAGTTTAATAGAAATTCCATAGAATTTCCTAACGAATTCGATAGATTTTTCTATTAAATTTTTTCGTGCGCGTTATCTCGATTGTTTTTCTGTCTTCATAATGTAAAATATATCACAATTTCCATTGGATTTTACATCACGCAGGAGTCCCTAAAATTATGGTTGTACACTCAAACAAAGTAGAAAAAAAACTGAATATTTTCAGAGCGTTTTTAATAAGGATTAAAAAATAAGTTCGATAGTGAGAAAATAGTGAATGGATAATTTATCATGGTAACTAACGATCTGACAGCCATTGACTACTGTGACAAATCGCGACCTAACAGTCATTAGATACATCAAATTATTAATTTGCAATTTCCTCTCTACTGGGTTTATTTCCTCATATTATTAAAAAACGCTCTTTGAAAATGTTCAGCTTTTTTTCAACGTTTTTATTATCATTCAATCATAATTTTTGGAGACTTCAGAGCTATGTAAAACTGAATAGCAATTGGAGATCATTTCAGATTATCAAAATAAAAAAAAAAAACAATCAACATAACGTTCGAAAGATGATCCACCCGGGCCTTAAATAATTACTCGAATTCGTAGATCAAATTTTCCAGCGGCAGTATCATAAAACCTCAGATCTCTCTCCACGGAGCTCGTGCAGACCACCTGAACATCCGGCATCGCAATGATATCCGTAATAATCGTCGATTGAACCTTGAAATCAGCTTAAGAGAAGACTACTATGAGTTTTAAGTCGTGGGAACAATTACGAATTAGTTTTCTGAAATTCGACTCCTGCACAGCTAGTTTCGTTTCGTTTAATATAAAAATTTGTGCTATTGATGTAAAATAGGCAGAAAAATTATTCTTAAAATATTTAAAAAATATTCTCGATTCTTTCAGAAATATTTTTCGGGCTATTATACATGAATTGTGCAGCTTTTAATTGAAATAATAACGAAATTAGCTGTGTAGGAGTTGAATTAAAAAAAAAAATTCATACACGGACGAAAAAATTTAATAGAAAAACCTATCGAATTAGAAAATTCTATTGAACTGTTCTATTAGTTTTTGGCCGATTCTATTTAAATGTTTAATAGAAAATATTCAGTAGAAAAAGTCAATAGACTTCAATTTTTCTATATAACTTATTCTAGATAACTCTATAATATTCTGTATAACTTATTCTCTATTCTATATAACTTATTCTATTGTGATATTTTCTATAGAATTTCCTCGACTCAAATTTTCTAAGTTTTTCGTTTGATTTTCTTGATGAGAAGAGAAAAAAATAGAACGAAAAAAACTTGGAAAAGCGCTTGCTGTTTGTCTCGAACGTAACAGAATACAGAATATTCGACACACTTTATATGAATTTCGGAATAATTGTGGCTCGCGCCACAAAAAAAAACACTGTAGCTCAAAAATTCGAGGCTCTGGACCATTTTTAACATTTTAAGCGTTTGCGGGGTAAACGCACAATGAACAATTAGTTTTTTTGCACTAATTATTCGTTGTTTGACATATCTAATCGATCTTCAATGTATGCGAAATCTCATTCCAATAGCCCGCGACATTTAAAACTCGTAGTAGTCTCCCCCTAAAGCGTTTGCAATTTTTAAAAATCATTCAATTATTCTTCTATCGAGTTTTGGGCTCACGATTGATTGATTTAACGCTCTTCTGATGCACCAGATCCAAAGACCAGTAGTTGATGACTCCATCCTTGGAGACTGTAAGGTACCTCCCACTCTGAAAACTTGAACTTCTGTTTTCCGAAGAAATTAAGTAAGGAGAGAATATTATCCGACAGATTGCCGAGCGATGACGAGTGGGGAGCAGCTCCGGGGGCCCCTTCAGCGGGAGTTCCATGGGTTGAGACTTGAGTTCTGCTGTGCCCGTCAGCCTGAACTCCAGGAGGAGGTAGGAGACGAACTCGTCCCATGTTATCCGCTCGTCTCTCATGGAATCCATTTGTTTGAAGAGGTGCGCGAAGTCTTCTTTAGACATTCGGATCTTGAGAAATTTCTCGAAGGCTTCGTGGAGCTGGGTCTCGTCCATCTCTTGGTATTTCGCTGCCTGAAATTTTGGGATGAGTTGCTCCATTTTGAAATGATATTATATAATAGTGGCATTGGAAATTCCGAATTTGACGAATACAATACAATTCTATTCATTAGCGAAAATGCGAAACGAATGGTAAATTATTCTCCGCATTATTTCGATTATGACGTCACAAAGTGGCATAAGTAATAATGGGTAGCGCTCAGTTGGTCGAATGTGATTGATTGATTGATTGATTTTTATTGCTGCACATTATGTTGTGCAAGACTAGTGGCAAAGCCACAAAGCAAATACAAAAGTATAACAGAAACAGAAACTCTGGGGGTAGATTAGATTAGATGTTTATTGTTTAGGAAATTAAACAAAGTGATTACATGGAAAATAACATATGTACGTAGGTGTAGTGGCCTAGTGTCTCAATCTAGTCAGTGTGTCAGATGGATATATTAGGGCACTGCACAATCGGCCGGCTGTGCGACTGGGGTTTTACATGGTTCCCCGTGCAGCCCTAGCTCGAATGGTGCACAGCTAAGAGTAAGACGGCCATGATACCGCAGATAACAATGAGAGGAAAAAGAAAGGAGGGGAGGCAAGCTAGAGGAGGGGTTTCAAATCGGGAATTACTTCGATAAAACCAATGAAATAAAAAAAAATTAAAAAAAAAATACATATGTACGTAAGAAGCAGCAAAATAAAACACAGCAAGAGATGAAGCAAAAAATAAAGACAAGAGGCTAGAGAGTAAGCAAGTAAGCATGAGCAGATGGCCAACTGAATTAGGATGATACATCAAGATCAGGGAGTAGGTGATATATGAGAGTAAGCATATATAAAAAATAATAAAAATAAAAAAAATAAAAATAAAAATAAGAGAAAGCGGGCCGTAATATGGCAGTATGAGGAAAAATGAAGACAGAGAATGGAAGAAAGGAGAGAAGGAGTAAGGGGAGGACAAGAAGTGCGAGGATCAGAGAAGCCTCAGGGATAATTCCTGAGGTACTCCCGTACAGCCACACGAAAAAATGGAAGAGAGGGTAGGTCACGAACTGCTGATGGTAGGGAATTCCAAAAATAGGCCACGGACACGTGGAAGGAGGATCGCATGGCCTGTTCTAAAAGGCTTAGAATGAGGGGGTGATGAGAGATCCGTTGGAAGAAGCGCCCCTGTGACGTCATTAGCGATTTCAAAGCGGTTGCAATCCTCAACTTTCGACACTCAATTATTAATTAACCCGCAATATCTCTCATGTTTATAGATGGAAAATCAGTCATTCAAGGTCGAAACTTGAGATTGAAAAAAAATTTTTAAATTCATGCTATTAAGGATGTACTACACCCTTTCGGACAAAATTCACGTTTTTTTCATTTTTCTGGGAAATTATTGATCGGATTGACGCGAAATAATATCCCGTTATTGCATTTTATTATTATTGACTAACTCACGAAATTTCACGGTAGTGCAATCGTTTTCCTGATTTTTTTCTAAAGTTGTGAATTTCTCAAAAGTTTGATAAAAAACGCAGAAAAATGATTGCACGATTATGAAATTTCGTGAGTCATTAAGTAATGATAAAACGCAAAAACGGTATATTTTTTCACGTCAATCCGATCAACAATTTGCCAGAAAAATTAAAAAAACGTGAATTTTGGCGAAAAGGGTGTAATATATCCTTAAGTTGTCTATTCTGCCCCGCAGAATAGGCAACTCCCACAACATTGACCACATGCTATGGCAATGTCCCCTTCTGAATCCGCAGAGATTAGAACTAACAGCCAAACTGAGATCATTGAAATATTTTTTTCCTTATTGGACTTTCCAGTTCATGGTGGCAATCGACTTCGAAGCTCTCACATCAGCGATAGACAAATTCTTCGCAAAATGTAAGCTCCGTATATAAAAGGCGAAATGTACTTTTAAAAAAATAGTGTAAAAAGAAAATGTACGACACCCTATCGACAGTGTAAATAACCCTGTTATGGGTTCTATACTATAAACCAATAAAAAAAAAGTTGCCTATTCTCAGGCTCCTTCCATCTACCTTGTAAGCTTCATGCAGCTCTGATAATTTCTCTTCATCGCACTGCTCCTCCACATTTTTCTTACCAAAAAATTCCGTGAATTTCCTGTGAATACTGAAATTTAAAATTTCCATCAACTCATTTTTGAATTAATTCTTTTTGTTATTTACTAACAGACCTGTCTTCATGCCCATCCAGTAGACTCTTCACCTCCTCTTCCATTTCGGTATCTCAGAAATTTTTAATTAAATTAAAGATAACCAATTGAACAAAAAATGAATAAATGAGGAAAAATGTCAAAACAAATTGAACAGAACTGAATCACGTGACGAGCATAGAAATCAATAATTACTTCACTTCATGTTGTGAACAGTTCTTAACCCTGAAGAGATCGATATTTTGGTATAGTGGAGGTGGTGAACAGGTGGACGCACCTGGGAAACATCAGTTAATATCCGACAGAAGCCTCATGTACACAAATGGAGTTGTTCCAGGCAATAAGTTTATTCAGACGACGAAAATACGAGGAATGTGGGAAAATTTGCACGAATCTTCTTCGAAGGAGTCCTCTAGACCAGGTAAATTACCGAAATTACTGGACGCACGAAAATTTTTCATAGAAAAAACTAGAGAGTCGATAGGCAATTCTAATGGATTTCTATTGAACTTCTATTAAAAATTCTACTATTTTCCTTTGAATGCCTTTGATGTCTTTGAATAATTCAGTTGCACTGTGCGTTTATTTATAAAGATTATCCAATAGAAACTATTTTACAAAAAAAATCAGTAAAACTTCATCTTTTTACAACTTTTCCTATCGAGATATTTTCTGTCGAAATTCCTCGCTGTGAATTGTCCGCGTTTTGTCCATTCTATTTTGCTTCTCTTTTTATTCAGAGAATCAAACAAAAAAATAGAAATTTCTATAGACAATACATTTCACTAGAATAAGTTGGATAGGAAAAATAAAATTCAAATTCAATATTTTCAATTGAATATTTCTGTTGAAAATAAACGCACAGATGAATTGCGGAATTTTTCATCCAATAGAAACTATTTTGCAGAAACAATCAGTAAGACTTCATCTTTTTACAACTTTTCCTATTGAGATATTTTCTGTCGAAATTCCTCGCTGTAAATTTTCCGCGTTTTGTCCATTCTATTTTGCTTCTCTTTTTATTCAGAGAATCAAACAAAAAAAATAGAAATTCCTATAGACAATACATTTCACTAGAATAAGTTGGATAGGAAAAATAAAATTCAAATTCAATATTTTCAATTGAATATTTCTGTTGAAAATAAACGCACAGATGAGTTGCGGAATTTTTCAACAGAATCGGCCAAAAACTAATCGAAATCCAATAGAATTTCCATCGAAATTGCTGGGGTTTTCTATGAAATTTTTTCGTGCGTGAATCCAAACATTTTATTGACGAATGCAAATGTTCCTCAGAGCGTGTGGGTGCTGAAAATGCGAGCCTTAACTCTACAATTGTACGTGGATGACATAGAGAGCGAGGAGGAGGGCATTGCCGAGAGTTTACTCGACAATTACATGATTGCTTCAATGCCGCGGCCTGGAACTTCGTTGAAGAATCCGGGAACTGCCATGGTCGGTCAGGGGTTCCGTCCCAAGACCCAATCTGGTAATTATCCAATTAATCGAATTCACTTACTTCATTTTTAATATTTTTATATTATAAAAATCCAAATCGACTTCTGGTGATGACAATTTGGTACTCGAAATTAAGACTCCAAAATTAAGCGTCATAAGAGTCAAAGTAAGGGTCATGAGGGTCAGAATAAGGGTCATATGAGTCGGATTAAGGGTCATGAGGGTCAGTGTAAGGTTCACGAGTGTCAGATTAAGGGTCACAAGAGTCAGATTAAGAGTAATGAGGGTCAGAATAAGAGTCATGGGGGTCAGATTAAGGGTCACGAGGGTTAGATTAAGGGTCACAAGGGTCAGTATAAGTGACGAAATCAGGGTCACATGCACTCTTTCTGACATTTTTGCCTGAGATTAACGATGATCGAGAATAAAAAATATTTCTTATGATTAAACCATCTCTCCTGAGGAATTAGGCTAATCTTACTAGTTTTGAAGATATCTGCAGAGAAATCATGATGTCATGATGTTGTGTATCATTTAGGAAGACCAGTAACTGGTACAGTGCGTCCAATGACCCAATCAGCTACTGCCCAGACAATGGAGCAGGCACTGAGGACTCCGAGAACTGCAATGTCCGCTAGACCTATTACCACAGCTTCTGGAAGAGCTGTTAGGTATGATTGACGAATTTCCTAAAAAATTCTATTGGATTTCTACTATTCTTAGAAAATTCCACTGCTCATCCCCGCGTTTTTTCAACAAAATGAATGTTCAATTGAAAATATGTTATTGAGAATAAATCTACAGAATTTGAATTTTTCGATGCAACTTATTCTAGTGAGATATTTTCTTTGACTGATTTTTTGAATGAAGAGATAAGAAAAATAGAGGGAAAATAACAGAAAATTTATATCGATGAAGTTCTGTAGAAAATGTCTCAACAGAAAAAGTGGTCTATAAAGATGAGCTTTAGTTTAGAAAGTAGTTGGATAATTTATTGAAAGACAATTTTTATCGAAAGAAAACGCGAAGTAAAGCTGCGGAAATCTTCAATGGAATTGGCAAAAAACTCATAGAATTTTTTGTTGAATAGGGAACTTGCATGGAGCTCAGTTTTCCCTATTCATTTCATTTCCCTATTTCACCCATTCTACGTAATCCATAAATAGCTAAACAAGAAAAATTATGGAGAAATCTTTCCCAGATATTTTACAGTAATTGATTGAGAATCAGACGTTTTTGAAGCCTATTAGTTCGGACATGACGTCACAAAATGGCATAAGTAATGCTGCGTAGCGCTCCGTTGATCGAATGTGAGGAGAGGGGAGTTGCCGTCATCCATTGGATGAGACTCGAGCTCGAATGACTCGAGCCATTCTATGATTGGCCCAGCGTTCGACCACACTTGTGACGTCATTAGCTATTCCCAATCGTTTGAAATCAACTTTCGAACGATCACAAATGAAAAATTAATCATTTACGGCCAAAACATGAGATTAAAGAATTTTTACAAAATCATGAAAGTTGCCGATTCGCCAGGTTTTTCATTGGAATCCGCATTTCCTAACTATTTTTCAACTATGCAATTAAACTAGATTGGGAACTGCTTCAATGGTGTCAGAGCCGGACAGCCCTTTCATCCAACTCTCGAGATTGAACATCAGTAAATACGCCAGTAAACCGGAAATAGCAAAACCATTGTTCGAGTATATTTATTACCACGAGCATGATGCTAGAAGTGTAAGTGAATCTCCATAACAACTCACAACGGATTAGAATCAAAACGCGTTCAGAGAATTTTTAATTTTATTTTATAATAATTTTTAATATTGTTACCATTATTAATTTTGATTTATGAAACTACGTTATCGACTCGATCATTGCATTCTTGAGCCAATTAAGTAGTTCCATGAATTAAAAATATTAAGTGCATTACAAAATACAATTCTAAATGTTCATATAGTCGCAGAGGTTTCGTTTCCCCTGAACCCTAGTTGGTCACCGTATGAGAACTTGCGATTGGTCACCTCCGGGGGGATTCCCCGCCGTGTTATTTAGGTTCGAGCGTTGCCGAATCTACTCTACACTGCTGGGGCACGTTTATCAAGTTTCTGGCAACATTGCACAAGGGCCAATTGAATTTAACATGGGAAAAAAATTAATCGTCTGTTCACAATAATTTGTTTTCTCGAGGAATTGTGCATATAAATCATTTCTTAAATATCTATAATTTTCTGGACATTTGAATTGACGAATTCAATTTTTTTAGGATTTTTCTGCTCATCCAGGCAATGATAAGAAAACAAAAACGAAGTTCAGCAGGGGTTTCCCTCCTACGGTGACCACCTAGGGTTAAAATTCTCTATAGAAGTCTGAACAGTGAAGGGAGTCATTAAAAGTTCTTCTCATAATTCTCTCAAGTCGCTCTCTTGAGAAATATTCATGAGATGCAGATGCAACCTCAATTTCAATGTTTGTTTTTTGATGAATTAAGACCCTTTCAATAAAAAAATCCAGTGGATTGTTTTTTGAAGCCAATCTATTCCGCCTAACGTTTCTCAATCTTTAATAAATAGAATTTGTATTATAGTACATATAGTATATTATATATAATATACTGTATAAAAAGAAACTAAATAAAAAATAGAAAAAACATTGAGAAAAAAGAAATGAAGAACACTCAGACTCCAGTGATGAATACTAAATAACAGAAATAAAAAAAATTGAATGAGTTAACACGAACAAATTAAGAAATAAAAATAAAAGTCGTAAATGTGTAAATTAACAGATTTTCGATTATTTCTGTCAATAATTAACGATTTTTCATTAATTATACAATCACTATACTTCGAATAAAACTCTAACCGGTTCTATCAATTCCTGAGGCACGTAATCTAGAGAATACGCGCGCGGGCTAATTTAGTGCTTGAAAAATATTTTTCAGGCCTTAGATCTCGCAGTTCAAGCCACTCAGGCCTGTCATTTCAATGACTGGTGGTGGAAGGTTCAACTGGGAAAGTGTTATTACACTTTAGGACTTGTCAGAGATGCTGAACAACAGTTCAAGTCAGCGTTGAAGGAATGTAAAACCGTCGAAACGATGTTGAGGCTCATTAGAGTATACGTGAGGCTGGATCAGCCCCTAGCAGCTCTCGATCTGTGCAAACGGGGGCTCGAACACTATCCGAGTGATGTGAGATTATTTCTCGTCTTATTCAATCATTTTTTGAGCTCGAAATACAGCACAAGTGGGAAATTGCTGTTGTATTGCATATAGTATAGTTATTTTTGCTCATAAATTAGCAATATGCTTTCGAATAGTTATTTTGCACATAATTTTCTTCTATCATGGATAATTCATTGTTTATTTCATTTTATTTGATTGAATAAGATTTCTTTTCAACTAATTTTGGCAGATTTTCAACTTAGTTGAATGTTATCACCACCATTCTTCTTACAAGATCGAAGGCGCGCTCTGCGCCCCTGGCAATTTGATAGATTTTGTGAAAACTTTCAATGGATCACGTGATCGAACTCTCGAAAAAGTTATATATAATTGTCCATGATTGAAAACATCTCTCCGTAGATCTGCACCAACATTACCAACATCATCAATATCATCAGCATCACCAATTGTATTGATATTTTTGAAGGTAACAATCTTAACGGAAATGGCTAGAGTCTTCGAGGGTCTCAACAGCATGGTGATGTCCGTGAAATATTATAAAATGGTGGCTCAAGAAGATGCTGCGAATACCGAGGCAATTGCTAGTATTGGAATGCATCATTTTTATAACGATCAGCCTGAACTGGCCCTCAGATATTACAGGTACACCGTGCTTTTTGGTTCCAAGGGAATGCGCCCCTCTCCTTCGAAATATTTCGATAACCATTGAGAAGTTTTGGCCGTGGCCAGCTTGATGTTCAAGTGAAAGAAAAATGTGGGGTTCAAAGCCCCAGTTCATAACATCGATGTCAGAAAAGATGTGAATGTTTTTTGGACCCGAATGAAAGAGCGAGTCTCGAAATATAGAGCAGATGATTCTAAGGATGATTTTCCAACCAGGGGAGACCCCCAGACCCCACTGGACAAGGAGATGAGATGATTTAATATGATTTAATATGATTGACTCGGTTGGATGTAAAATTTTCATCTACAACTTTTGTTCATAAAAATTTTTTTTAGAAATGCATTGAAAAAAAAATAGTTCATTGCAGAGGCAATTCCACTGACTTTCCAAATATCTTTTTCAAATGTCAACAGGTCTCTTAAAATTCGAGAAAATGATTTTGAACTGTTGACGGAAAGGGTCGATACCATGCACTGATCCTGGCCGATAGGACAAGTTTATGGGTCGATGCGTGGTATCGACGCCGTACGTGAGGGGTTAACATGGGAAAAAATGTGGACGTCCGCATGAAAAGGGACCACTTTGGCACTATTGGAGTTATGTATATTCCCATAATCTTGATCTGATCCTGAACATTTAGAGCCCAGAATGAACTTGATAGCGTAAAGAGTGACGACGCTAAAGAAGATCGAAAACATAATTTAACATGGGTTTAAATGGGAGTTGGCAAGATAAAAACGTGAATATCTCGGAAACTAGAATCGACAAAGTGGTCCCTTTTCATGCGGACGTCCACAAATAATTCGTCTGCTCGAAATGATTTGTTTTCTTGAGGAATGCTGGGAAATATGTTGTTCTAAAAACTACTATAATTTTTTTGACACCTCAATTGACAACGTCAATTTTTTTTCAACTTTTCCTGTCAGCCGGTCATTTGTAATTAAAGAAAAACGACGCCCGGGGTTGCCCTTGCAGGGTGACCAATCTAGGGTTGCAGAAATTTCGAAAAAAAATACAGACACCATCCAAATATCACAAAAGCCGATTTTTTAGTCATATAGGGTGAACCAACCAGTGTTCGAACCCGACCAGTAATCGAACTAATTGTCACTCTTTTTATGAAATAAATTAATAGAAGGCAGGAATGTCTTGGATTATACATGAACATTGAAATTATGACATTTCTAAATGATATTGTGATGATTCCAAACGTCTAACTTACATTATTACTAGCGAAAAAAAAAGTTTTCGATGACACGCCGCCAATAGCATATTCCCATTACGGAACACGCAGTTCGATTACTGGGTTTTCACACTTTTTTATCTTTTTGTATTCATATCTTTAATTATATCGTCAATTAATGTTCATGATATTTTTTTTCTATTATCTATGGGAATGTGCAGTGAAGTTATAATAATTTTTTAATCAATTTTCGGTTTTGTTATATTTTTAAACATATGTCAAAAATAACTGTGACCTTATTCGTTCGAACACTGGACGATTTACCCTAGTTACCTTAAGGATGTTCTACACCCTTTCTGCCAAAATTCACGTTTTTTTAATTTTTCTGGCAAACTTATGATGGAATTGACGTGAAAAAATATAACGTTTTTGCGTTTTGTCATTATTTAATGACTGACGAAATTTTAAGGTGGTGCGAACATTTTCCTGCGTTTTCTCTAAACTTTTAAAAAGAATCACAAAACTGTAGAAAAAACGCATGAAAATTATCGCACCACTACGCAACTTCGTGAGCCATTAAAGAATGACAAACCACAAAATCGTTATATTTTTTCACGTCACTCCCATCGATAATTTGCCAGAAAAATAAAAACAACGTCAATTTTGGCTAAAAGGGTGTCGAACATCCTTAATACAAAAAATTGGAAATTTAAATTTGAGCGATTACAAAACTTTCATTCAGAAGGAAAAATAATCAATCCCACATTAAATTGCAGGAGACTGCTACAAATGGGGGTTTACAACGCAGAACTACTGAACAATCTTGGACTTTGCTGTTTTTACTCCCAGCAATACGATCACACGATTTCTTGTTTTGAAAGGGCTCTCAGTCTCTCCAACGACGAGAATATCGCTGAAGTTTGGTACAATATATCTCACATTGCTATCGTGAGTCATTTGCATCCACAAACTTATTAAAAAAAATTTTAAGAAGGATGAAAAAATTTAACAGAAAATACTAGCGAATTTGCTAGACAATTCTATTGAACTTTCTATTAATCTTTGGCCGAGTCTATGGAAATATACAATAGAAAATATTCAATAGAGTTCATTTTCTATAGAATTTCCTCAGCTCAAATTTTCTAAATTTGTGTGTTTGATTTTCTTGATGAAAATAAAAGAAAAATAGAATTCTATTGACTTTTTCTATGGAATATTTTCTATCGAACATTTCAACAGAATCAGAAAACTAATCGAAAGTTCAATACAATTGTCTAGCGAATTCGGTAAGATTTTCTATTAATTTTTTTCGTGTGTGAATCGTTGAAATTCTACGGAATTATAGAATGTAATGAGTGAATTACTTGACTGTTCTAGTGCTTGGGGGATCTGGTAATGGCTGAAGAATGTCTGAGATTGTCAACGACGATAGACAACCGCCACGCAAATTCTTACAATAATCTTGGAGTTCTGGAAATGAAGAAGGGAAATGTCACAGCAGCGAGAACTTACTTCCACGCGGCGGCTAGTATCGCTGGTTACATGCATGAACCACATTTCAATAGTTCTCTGCTAGCCTATGAGGTACGTCAACTAACAGTAGTCATTAATTTGCCATCAATAAACGATTAAAAAACTAATTTTTATCACAAAATGGTTCAAATTTATGAATTTTTGACCAATAAATTTTCGAAATTCAGTGAAAAATCGTCCAAATTAGCTTCAATAATACTCTGTTAATTTATGAATTACATTAATTAATAATAATAATTAATTTTCCGTGACTGAACAATTTGAAAAGTATTAAATTTGATTCAATTTTTTTATTCATGACGAATAACAATAATTATAATGAATAAAAATAGTTACTGACTGACTATAGATGATTATTCATCATCAATCATCATTTATTATTATGAATGAATAGTAAACATTTATTCTTGCAAGAGAAATCTTACACAACAATTCGCTATTCCCTTTAATTAATGATTATTTTCTCAAACATGATAAAAATTTCGAGGAAAAATCGCGCATTTTCTTTCATATATCTTCGAAATTCAATGAAAAATCATCAAAATTTATTGAATAATTTTTGTTAATTAGGTAGGTGATCTACAGACAAGTTACATCGCAGTCCAGAAGTCGTTGTACGCCTACCCCAGCCACTGTGACAGCAAAGTATTATTCAAAAAACTAGAAAGACATTTTTTTCACTCTTAATTTATTCGTATGTAATACGTTATCAATACCCTCTTTATAATACATAATTATAATTACTATATACAATGTACATGAATACCAAACATCAAATACACTCGTAAATTCAGTAAAAATTCTGTTAATCAGAGAAACCTATTCTCGTAGCTCAAAAATTGCGCAATGAATCTATGAAACAACTCGATTTCTTTCATTCTGTTAATCATGCGATTATCTCTACACTGAGTGCTTCCGCGGAAAAAAGTTATAAGACATTTTTTGTGGAGAATTTCAAGAGCGACAAAAAAGTCTCGTGGCATTTTCTTATAAAACGACTCGTTCTCGAGATAACGGTGAAAGTAACAAAAGAAAAAATCAAATTTCATCAACTTCATGATTGTTGTTATTCAATGGGCGATGATTTATTCAGATTAACGTTTCGACTGAGAATGTGGGGAACTGCAGCAATATTCATCACAAGTATCAGGAAAATGAGGGAAATCAATTGGGGAAGGGCGAACGAAATTCCAGTTCATAATGAAAAAAAATGCATTTCACGTAAAAATTGGTAATCGACAGATTATCTAATTGACGAATAGTGGAATGCTGTTTTAGTCTATAAATAATGTCCTCGTCAGTAGGAAGAAAATAACTTTTCCCAGCAGATTTTCCTACGAACGATAAATGGCGTCAAACAGCCATTCAAGTCTTGAGATTTCTGTGGGTTTTCATTCAGAATTGTGCAATTTTCAAGTTATGTTTGTAGTTCAGGAGCTTCAGCTGTTGCTTTCATGTTGTGTGGGATATCACGAGCCACGAGATGACAAAGTAGAAGAGGAATATTGGGTAAACTGCCAGGACTTTTCTCCCTGCCGGCTGACTCTCTCCGAGAAATGCCATTGAAGCTAGAAAAAATTATTTATAAATTCTCAGTGTCAATTGATATCTTTTGCTTGTTCATAATTACCATAGGTTGCCCAGACGAATCCTATTACTGTGATGATAAAACGTAAAATGAACAGGGAAAGGTTCTGCTCCATCAGCAGGATAATTCTGCATAATATTAATGCAATTGCAATTGGCAGAAGGCAGTAACCAAGTACACAGACACTTTGGAAAAATGATCTGGAAGGAAATAATGAGTTTTAAATATTTTAACTATTGAAATAAAAACTTCATTGTTATGGTAAATTAACTTGATTTCAGAATAGATTAATTCAGTAGCGAAGTGGTCAAACGGTTTAAATCGATTTTGGCTATTGGCCAGTTGTCAATGAATATCTCGAAATTTAAGGGAGATCGCCAAATTTTTCTCATAACCTTTTCAGTAGCACTCCATTCGCCCTACAAAAAAGGTTATTATAAATAATTCGCTATCTCTCTTAAATTCGAAAATATTTCTGGAAAACTCAACTAAAGACTAAATTGACTTAAACCGTTTGACCACTCCGCCACTGAATTGATGAACGTATTTAAAGTTAATGGAGAAAACAAAATTTTTGACGGGAATTTTTTTAGATGCGATGACAGCTACAAAATTGCATCATCTTTAATTGATTTTTCCTTTAACATTCAATTTAAAAAAATCCCAATTCAGTTTTGTAAATTAAATTTTTTGGAATGAAGAGGGATAAATTGATTTTGATGAAAACATGTTTTGTATGGAAAAAAAACGAATTGAATTGATTTTGGGACTTACATATTTCCTCCTAGTAGTTTAGAATTAAGAGTTACGACCATGGAGCCAATCCACACGAGTACAAATACCTCAGCAAATTGGGGCCCGCCGTCATTAGGGTTGTCACGAGCATCAGATCCCTGGAGAATCCTGAGTAAACAAAACCAATAAAAGAAGAATAATCAATTTTGTAAGAATTACAAAATAAAAAAATATTCATTTCAGTATTTTGAATTGTGCTGTCTCTTACATTGCCATGAAGGTACAGAGCACCAAAGGTCCCCACAGATCCCCTAGAAGACGTTAAAAAAACATTAAATAAATAAAAAAGTTCTTCAAATCGATTCAATTCCGAAAAATGCATAAATTCGTACATTCCTTCAGCAAACTTCCTTTCTCCTTTGGATATATTACATGAAAAAATTTCTGTCCAACAGCTCGAACGTCCCTGAGCTGCAACAAATGAGGGGAAAAATGGAATTGAGTAATCATTGAGGATTTTGTAGCCTGAAATCAATTGAAATGAAAAGTATTACGATTGTATCACTAATTGGTTCGTCCAAGGTGTTGAAGTCAGGTTCTCCAATATTAACTCTTTGCCTCGTGCTCCCCACAGTCATGTCCCCCTCGACGTGTTGAGGGTCCACGTTATAAATGGCATCATCATACATCTATATAATAAAAACAAGAGATTAATTCCTCAATTGAGAATAAATTGAGGATTGGCGTTGACTCCAGAGGAAGTTTTCGATGGATATTTTCTAATTTTGATTGTTCAGAAGAGACCTGAACAATCATTTTTTTCCATCTCTTTTGGCCCCGAAGATATCTACCAACAAGAAAATTAGTTTTCTCTTTTCTTAATTCTTCTGATTTGATTATGCCAAGAAATATTAACTGTACAAAGACAAAATACAGTCTTCAATCGTCAATATCTCAAGATCTGCTGAGTAAAATTCAATTTTTTTTTTTCAATATCAAGGTACTTTTTCAGGCTTCACAATGAGCCCCAATTAATCAAAATTGAATCATTGACTTGAGAGATATAAACCATCTAACGAAATTAATTTATTGCACAATATTTATCCCGTGGACAAAATACAGTCTTCAATCGTCAATAGCTCAAGATTGGCTGAGTGAAATTCAATAAATTTTTTTTCAAACTGAAGGTACATCTTCAACCTTCAAAATGAGCTCTGACTCATCAAAATCAAATCACTGGGCCGAGGGATACGTCCCAACTAACAAAGTAAATTTCATCGAACTCATCCATATCGTCCCACATAGCTCCAAATTTCATAGGTTATCTCATGCTCACATCTAACTTAGCCTCCTGCAGTGGCGGAACACTCGACGACATGGGATCCATCCCTCCAATTCAGTCCTCCCCTCGTCAACAACGAACAAACCGACTAATTAACTAAAAGGCTCGCTCTACTTCCCTAGAAAATAGAAAAATCAGGAACAAAAAATCACAGGAAGTTCTCCACATTCACTTGCACTATTCACTGGACTCTATCAGTAGATAGTAAACACCCCGACGACCCCACAATTCTCTCAAAAAAATGTCCAAGGAATTAAGAAAATCTTCAGTACAAATTATTCCGTCGATTTTACTCGTTTTTTTCGGAGTTCATCGACGATTTTTGGAGCGAATTATCATCGTCATTTTGACAGTTCCATCGTGCGTATGTAAATCATCCAGGTGGCAGTGGTTTCAATATGGCGTAGGTTAAATATGCGTATATATTTTCCCCGAATTTATCCCCCGAGTAAATTGGACATTAGATCAAAATTAATGTAGACGAAAATTTGTATAAATTTAGTGTAGATTGAGTGAAAGAATTGGGGGATTTTTCGAGCAGTTGTTGGGTTTTTTGGGACTGAAAATGATGTTTGCGGGGCACACGTTGGTTCTCCTTGCACTCGTGTCAACTTGGATTTCTGTCCATGCGCAGGAACCGGCAACAGACGGCCAATCAGGTGGCGGCGATGACGAGACGAAAAGAGAGGGAGAATTTAAATCGGGTCATGAGGAAATTTGTATCCTTTTTTATTGGACTAGTGCCGCAAGCGGCCAGTGTTGATGTCCTTTGATTATGGCCTTTTTCCTAACAGAATCGATATTCCTCTTTTCAATTAATTGTTTAGAATTAGTCTGATTGCGAGACGCAATACGACCGATGAAAATCCCGTGTCCCAATTCCAGAGATCAGAACAATCATCAATTCCAAAATAAGTTGAATTTAGCTTCCGTTATTTATTTATTTTATTTTATTTTATTCGTTCGGATAGACCCAACAGCCAAATGGCCAATGACAGGGTTACTACATAACATATGTACATATGAATCAAAAATAAAACATAGCAAACGAATTATGTGTTATTAAGGGGAGACCGCGGTGAAATTTGAAAGTCTCGGCTCGGCCTTAAGAGCCATTGGACGACTTTTGATATATGAAGGGATATATAAAAAAAGTGAGAAAAATTTCGCACCCGAACCGTTTTGCCCCGTATATCCACCAAAAACGTCGTTTTTCACGTTTTTAGCTTAGAAATGCCCCTTGTACCGCAGTTTTTATCCGATTACAACTTTTTTTTTTAATGTTCGCTATACTCCAACGAACAAACCCGAGTATCCGTTTTGCTTTATATTTATCAGATCATGAAAAAATGATTTTTTTAGTTTCTATTTTTTTTCCTCTTTTTAGCAAATGCTAAAATTAGTTGTTTTTCGTTATTCCACGTTGTAATCATACGTAACCGAAATATTATAACAAAAAAAAATGGGCGGAAGGCCGAGATCCTCATTGGGATCACCACATTTACATGAATCCAGAAAAATTCTGAATAACACAATTTATTTCATTCTCACACGTTATTGTTTTTCTATTAGTTTTTCTATTCGCTACACGATTACTTGACTTGTTCGGTTATTTTTCTTCAACGTTTTTCTCCATGGAGATTCCCTCCTACATTTATTCATTACATTCTCTTAACGTTGAATATCAGTTAAAAAACTCTTCATCGCCAAGCGGAGACAGCACCTCAGTGCAGTGAAAAACCTCAGAAACTTGGATTCTTACGAACGGAAATACGAAATGATCTCGATCATAATGAAAAATGTCATTGAAATCGTCGAAGCGAAGAAGAATTCTCTCGAGGGGATCAAGGAGGGATTGAAGGAGAATCGAACGCTCTCTTACGTGCCTCATGAGTTGAGAGATGGTGAGGAATTTTCTTGAAGGCTGGAATTCAGTCAAGGGACATTCTCTCCGGAGAATTCCAAGGACCGAAAAATAATTCCCTTGATATTTTGTTTCGTTAAACCGTTATTTCCAGTTACCACTAATGATTCACATGCGCTGAGAGAAATTTCAATGGTAATTTCAACTACAAGGGAATTATCACTTGTAATACCACAAGAGCTTCAAAATTATCGGGTATTTTCCGATAGGTTCGTTGCAAACAAACGAAGGAGTCAAGTTTTTCAGGCTAAACAATCACAAGTGCGAAGCACGAGTGATTTTTCCTGAAAAACTTGACGACTTTGTCAATCAAAGGGACTAATCTAGTAATTTAAACTTTGAAGGTCTGACTTTGAATCTCGATATTGAACCGTTAGAAAATATTTTAAAGGTCAGAACAAAATTATAAAGTTTACTTTTGGAGAAAGATTAATCTAATACTTGAAACATTGCAATTTTTTGAAATTACGAGCATTTTCTATAACTAATTTATAAACAGTCAATTTTCCACGATGAAAACCATTTGTTCGAATTTGTCGAATTTGAAACTTGACGAATTTGTTTGTAGTCGTAAATTTATTCATATTTAGAATTTTACCAGAAATCGATTTCATGCCTAAGAAATGCGGTTTCCAAAAGTTTAAACAATTACGGTTATTTATTTACGAACAACGAATGTTTTAAAAATGATAATTCTAGCCGAAATTTAATTTTAATAAGGCTGAATATTCATGATTTTTTCCAAATTTTTCTCATGTAATTTAAAGATCTTGAGGCACTTTCAGCAAATCTTATTTTTTCATGTTCAAGGAAAATTCTATAATTTTTTTGATTGATAGCAGAACATATGAAACTAACTTCTTTGGTGTTAAAAAAAATTAATCACAATAGTCCCGCCAGAAATAAATAAACAAATTTTTCTTTACACACGGGCTCTTATGGGATTTATGTTGAAATTTATAATTCACCTGCTAGAAGATTCTAAAAATAGAATTAAAAATAGAAGGTAATGTGCGAAACTATACTGAATCGAATGGCCAGAAAAAAATTAGGGGTACCCGCGCAAAAAGAGGAAATATTTAAAAGATTCTATCCCATATAAGCGCATGTTAGCGCACGCGTTTGGTGCATTTTGTCCACTCCATTTATAAATAATAAACACGAGTTGGTGGATTGAAATTTTTATCAAGATAAAGGGAATAATTTTTTTTCACCCATTGTCAGTTGAAAAAAATGAATTTTTTAAAAATACTTGCGATTTTGGATACACATCCTTAATTGATAAATTTGATGATTGAAAATGGTTGTATCTATAGAGTAGTCTCTACATACCTTTGATTTTAGATATTTAATCTATTATTTATGATAAATTTGTGTAGTATTTTAAGAATTTTTGGATCTGTTGTTTTCAATAAGGGGGTGATTGAGCTCGTAAGAGGAACTTTAAATTGTAAAAGATACTTTGGATATCTTTAAATGAAAAAATCTTAAATTTGTCGTCAGCATTATCATCGGTTCTCGAGAACACTGCATTCCTCGGGGATATAGCCCTCCAGCTCCCAGACATAACGCACAGAATACTAAAGAAGAACACCAACTGGAAAAACCATATGCACTGGTCATTGAACTTTGTCAACGAAACTCGATTTCTTATCGATGAGGCAACGGGAGACATGCTCGACCTAGCACTTCAGGAGCTCAACATAACGCAGAGACTCCCCAGCTACTCGAACCCATACGCTTCAGCAAACCAAAGAGATTCGGGTGATAAAAATTTGAAGAGGAAGAGAAAGGAGAAGAAGAAACGAAAAAGTGGACCTCAAATGGTCCACATTGACTTGTAAAATGAAACAGAAACGAAGTAATCATTGAAAATATTGTTTTTTATTGAAAAAATATCGGAGTAATTATTCCATCGATAATTTTGTAATTAATAAAACAATTATGATTTTTTTGTGAATGTTTTTTTTCTTTTTTTGGATGAAAAAAAGGCAATTCGATTTCGAAAAATTATTCTTTCAGCAGATTTTTATGTAATTACTGTTGAAGTGAACAGATGTGGAAACAATTAATAAAAATACTATTTTTCAATGAAGTAAATATCGGAGTAATTATTCAATCGATCATTTTATAATTAATTTAAAAAATGTGAATTTTTGAGGAATATTTTCATCATTTTTTGGGTGATAAAAAGTTAATTAGATTTAGAAAAATTATATTTTTGGGAGATTTTTATGTAATAACGCTTGAATCAAAGGTAATTGGAAGTAATCGATTAAATCATGCCTGAAAAATTATTCTTGACGATTTAAGAAAAAAAGTGGACTTCAAATGGTCCATATATGGACTTGTAAAATAAAGAAGGAATGGAATTGGTCAATAAAAATATTGTTTTTCAAAGGAAAAATATCAGAGTAATTATTCCATCGGTCATTTTATATTGAATTTAAAACATGATGAGTCTTTAGGTAATATTTTTATCATTTATTGAGTGAAAAAAAGTCAATTTGATTTAGAAAATTTTTATTTTTAGACGATTTTGATGTAATAACTGTTGAATTGAACAACAGAGCACATAATCAACAAAAGTACTATTTTTGAATGACAAAATATCAGAGTAATTATTTAATCCATCACTTTGTACTTAAGAAAAAAAAATTTTTTGTCAATTTTTTTAGCGACAAAAGGCAATTGGATTTGAAAAAATTAGATTTTGAGGAGATTTTTATGTGATGAATGTGACTATTGAATCGATCATAAGTGAAAATAATAGACCGAATCATGCCTGAAAAATCATTGTTGGCTATTTTAGATAGAAAAAAAGTAAAAATTAAATTAGTACAAGTCAGATAATTCGAAATTTTCTTCTACATTTATAATAATACCCCAAATTCAAATCTCTGGGAAATAGTTATTTCAATTTTTTGGTGGAAAACAGATGAAATTCCATCTGAAAAATTTATATTTTTAAACTATTTCAATGCAACAACTGTTCAATGTATCACAATCAGAGATAATCGATCCAGTCGCCCCTGGAAATACAATTTTCGTCCATCGATTTCATGCAGGGACTGTCCCACTAAAATATCCTTAAGAAGTTACAAATGTTCCGAGTATAAAATAAGAGAAATCTGACTAAACAACGAAAACTGGTCGTGAAGTACGTGAGAAGACGACCCAATGTGAATCGTCCGAGCCGGTTTTCTCCTCGAGGGCAGCGAAGGTGAATAAATATAGTAAAAGAATAGAGATAAAAGGGGGATTTAATCAGGGGGATCGACCCAGCCCCCAGCCCCCGCATAAGTCCAGTGAATTTTGGGCCCAAGTGTTCGGAGGTGAAAAATGCATCACATGCGGCGGTGAATATCAAGAGCTTTTCGAATACTTTCACCCGATGGATATTTCATCGCGGATTATCCCGACATTGACCTCAATTTTAATTTATTTTGCCTTTTTATCGGAGATTCTTGAATGATTTATTTCAACTTTCTAACAAATTTGAAGAATTTCATAGAGTTGTCATTATGCGGGAATGGCCATGAAATTTTCTATACGGATTGCGTATATAAATTCTATAGGATTTCCGTATATGATATTCGGATATTTCTATACGAATTATTCCTATACATAAATTGTTACATAAATTTTTGTTTTCGTACGAAACATGTCGAAACGCTCCAGAGAAAAACGTAGAGAAATGTCGCGACTCCATACGAAATGTTTCTATACATGTGGAAGTAGGTCGTATAGGATCAAACCTATAGAAATCGTATAGAAATAATTTGTATAAAAAATATCCGTATAGAAATATTCGAATATCATATACGAAAATCCTGTAGAATGCTATTCGTAATTCGTATAGAAAATTTTTACACGATTTTTTCATACGTGCATCAATCTGCCGATTCTTCAATATTAAAAGAACTAGCGAACAGGCGCTTCGCCCGTTACTAGATTAATTTATACTATTTTATTTTATTTTATTTTATTTTAATTTATTTTATTTTATTTCATTTTATTTCATTTCATTTCATTTCATTTCATTTCATTTCATTTCATTTCATTTCATTTCATTTTATTTTATTTCATTTTATTTTATTTTATTTCCATTTCTGTCTTCACAATTAGACTGATTTAATTTCATCCATTCTTATTCTTTTTGTATTTTTTTTTCTTAATTCACAAGTTACAGCATTGAATGAAGAAGAATTATGTTGAAGATCAATCAAAAGTGTGTGTTTGTGATCAAAACAGACACACAAAACAAACGAAAGACGATTAAAGACGATTTTTCTTTTTGAATAATGAAAGAAATATCGACACCGAGAGAAAAATCTACGTAATATCACAAAAATCATTTCTTGAGAGAAAAAACACGTATGAAAAAATTCAATAGAAAACCTAGCGAATTCACTAGAGAAAATTCTATTGCAATTCTATAGGAACTCTATGGGGTTTCTATAGGATTTCTATTGGAATTCTATTGAAAAATTCTATTTGTTTTTTCTGTTGATTCTATTAGATATTCAATAAGAAAAAGTCAATAGATTTCGAATTTCTATTCGAATTTTTCTCTTGAGATTTTTTCTCTTAGAATTCAGTACTGAAGTGGTCAATCGATTCAAGTCGATTTAGCTCTCAGTTAAGTTTTTGTCGAATAACTCGGAATTTAAGAAAGCGAAATTTTTGTAAGATCTTCGACAGTCTTCATTTTTCTTTACAAAAAAGATTTTTAGGAAGATTTCGCTAACTCCTTTAGAATTTGAGATATTCATCGAGAACTGGCGCTAGAATGGAATTAACTTAAACCGTTTCACCACTTCACTACGAAAAAAACTTGGAAAATTGATGGCCAAGCATTCTTGTAAAAAAAATCTGGAGAGAAAATTCCAAACAGAAATTCGAAATCTATTGACTTTTTCTTATCGAATATCCAATAGAAACAGCGCAAAAAATAGAATTTTTCAATAGAACCTCAATAGAAATCCTATAGACACCCCCATAGAATTCCTATAGAATTCCAATAGAATTTTCTAACGAATTCGCCAGGTTTTCTATTGAACTTTTCCATACGTGAAGCTTCCATTCGGAAGGAAAAATAATGTACAATCATGAATTTCGTTCGAAAACATTTCACATCACATCACCTCCACAAGGTGTAAATCGAGTTGGGATAGAAAGTAAAGTCCTGGCCAATGGGCAGATACCACTGGAGGTGGAACAACGTTTTGTATCCTACCATCCGTTAAAGAGTCAACTTCACCTCTCTTTCTGTCGTCGCGTCACGAGCATCCAAACCAGACCGAGTCCCAAAGACTCGAAATATCGAACTCCATTAAATTCCCCAACTGTACCCTCCAATTATCTGTATTTCTGTGCAATTTGTGTCTCAAGTGCGGATGATAGCTTCCTGGGGCGATCTATCCTCCAGCGTCCCCAGTGCGAGGACAAGTGCTATAACTCATTGAGAGGAACAATAGAAACTGTAAACTGTAATTATGGGATTTTATAGAGTGACGGTTCTGATAGCTGTCCTAGCTGTTTTTTTAGGTGAGAATAATATTTTTTTTCTACTCGTTACTTACCGAATTTTATGGTCCACTGGTGCAGCTGGGGATCAGGGAATGATCTCACTGATGAATATTGAGTGAAAACAACTGTTACGTATGAATTCTCGGATTTTTCTCGATGGGTTTTAGTCGTTTTACATCATTTTCCGGGGGCATTCGACGCTACTTTATGTATAATTAACACCGGTGCGGTGTGATGAAACGTAACGCAAACTTTCTGGAGAATGTGGAGGTAATGGATAATTTATAAAAATGGGTGAAGTGATTATTCAAGTGTTTTACATAATTTTGGTGATAGAAATTTCTTTGTTTTTGGTTTCTAAAATGTTGAAATATTGTTTTAAGGATGTTTAGCCAGTGCCGGTAAATTGTCGGTAAATGTGATTTTTTCGATGTTCAAGGAGAATTTTATAATTTTTTTGGCTGATAGTAGAACATGTAAAACTAACTTTATTGATTAAAAAATATTTATCGCAATAACATTGGCAGAAATAAATAAACAAACTTTTCCTTATACATGGGCTCTTATGGGATTTATTTTCAAATTGATAATTCACTTACTAGAAGACTCTAACAATAGAAATAAAAATAGTAATCTGCAAAGCTATACTGAATCGAATGGCCAGAGAAAAATCTGGGGTACCCGGGCAAACAGAGGAAATATTTAAATGATTCTATCCCATATAAGCGCATGTTAGCGCATGCATTTGGGACATTTTGACTATTTCGTTTTTAAATAATGAGCATGAGTTGGTCGATTGAAATTTCCATCAAAGTAAAGGGAATGACTTCATCTCACAGTTAAAAAAAAATCAATTCTTTTTTGAGTACTTGCGATTTTGGAAAAACATCCTTAATTTGAGGTTTAGAGGGAAGAGTCAGGAGATTTTTTTTGGGAGAATTTCGTTGAATTTTTCATTTCATGGAAATTTTGAATTGCAATTGTAGTATTTTTTCAAGAATTTTTCACGATTTCGAGAGAAATGAAATGAGTGAGGGAATCACTTATGAATTTTAATTAATTAGATTGTTTTGGAATTTAGACGGGAGAAAATGAAGGTGAAAATTGAAATAATCAAGAAATGGAAGTGCGTAATTGAGAGAAATATATAATTTTTTACGTAATTCAATCGGTTTTGAACCAGTGAATTGCGTTTTTAATGATTTTTCTCAAGTATTTATGCCAATTGATTACAATTTCGACAGAAAAACCAATACGACCATTTTTGCTGATTTTATTCGTCGCGAAGATGATAAAAATCCTGTAAATAATTTTCATTTATGACGAAGGAAAAAGATTGATCCAGAGAGTGAAAATTAATCACTGCAATTAATTATTAATTTATTAATATATGAGATATATTAAATTTTATTTCAGTAGCGAAGCGGTAGAACAATTCAAAAGTCATAATCTACTTCCACGGTTTCACCGCTTCGCTACTGATTGATCGTAACTTTTCATTCGACAATTCATTATGACTTCTGTGTAAAAAGAATTAACAACTCAGTTTCTGTCAATTTTGCTGGTGAACAAATCGAAAAATGATTAATTATCTAGAGGAGAGTGGGGAAAAAGGAAAATGAATTCAGTAGAACGGAAAATTATTGAGAAGTTTTGACGGGAGATTTTGTCAATGGATTAATTGAAAAGACAATGAAACTGCAAAATCCAAAGTCCAGAGGAAGGCCCAGGGGGAGACCCAGAGGGGGAAAAAGTAAAATATGTTGAATTTCAATCGAATGAAAAAAGAAAAGTGCAATCGCCCTAATCTAATCAATTGAATTATAGCTGAAATATCTCATATTATTAGAAAAGAGAACTGTGGATAAAATTTCTGAAAATTATTAACATTGTCGTCTCGATATAAAAAATATATAAAAAACCTTCGGGTGTGTTGAATGCGGACAGAACACAGCTCGCATGAAAAAATTCAATAGAAAACCGAGCGAATTAGCTAGAAAATTCTATTCGAATTCTATAGGAATTCTATGGGATTTCTATAGGATTTCTATTGGAATTTTATTAGAAAATTCTATTTGTTTTTTGCTCTAATTCTATTGGATATTCGATAAGAAAAAGTCAATAAATTTCGCATTTCTGTTTGAAATTTTCTCTTAAGATTTTTTCTATAAGAATCCTTGGGCATCAATTTTCTAAGTTTTTCCCACTCGCATTCTGTAATGCAAAACAAAATCCAGCGGAAAAAATTTTGAAAATTTGTGCCCAACAATTTCTAATTACCAATTTCAATTTAACAATGAAAAAGTCACCGAAAAAATTCATTGCAATGATTTTTATTTCGTTTTTCTACGTGAAAAAGATCTGGAAAAACCCGATTTTTGCAGCTGTGAAGACATTTCGATTTTTTCTGAAGAATCGGCTAATCGAAATTCCTAATTCTTACCGGTCAATACTTCTCAATGTAAAATCATTGAAAATGCCTCCAAAGGAGTGCGTCGCATGTGGCAATGAGAATGTTACTGCCCTCCAACAGTATACGTGGCCCCAACAACGTCCATTGCCACACATGCACCTTCACTTTCCACTCTTCCGGCAATCGGCATCAAGAAAAATCCCTCACGCCGTTATTCACCCGACAAATCCTCCTCCAGCTACGCCATTCACAATGTTTATGAACAATGCAACATGTGAAAATTCACAATGAAGAAAAACAATTTAACAGTGCGCTGTCAAAAATTTTTGTCTGAAATTTCAGGCGCAGTCTTTGGAAATTTTTATCGATTTTGATTACTACTGAAATTTCAAGCAATTTCGTCATTGAAAATTCAGAACTTGGTGGAAAAATCAGAGAGAACTGCCAATTTCAGTTCCATTTTTCTCTGAAAATGAATAGAAAACCTGGAAAATTTGGAGAAAATATTCTTTATTTTTTAGGACAGTGACACTGAATTCAATTTACGGGGAAAAAATCATGAAATCATGAACCATGAATTTCATTGAATCATGAAATTTTTAATTTCACTGAAAATTCAATGTAATTTGGCATTGAATATTCATATTAGATTGAAAATGCACAAAACTAAGGAATTTTCGTCTTTATATTGCTTAACCCTAGTTTGGTCATATAATCATCTTCAAATCCAAAAATAGGTATAACAAATTATTTTTTTCATCACCTCGGATAAGGAAAAAAAATTAATTGAAGACAATTAGTTAAATGATGACAAATTCTTTACTTGTTATTAAAAAAATTCCATTTATTTACGAAAATTATCTCCTGACGATCTACTAATTAAAAATAAGTTTCAAATCATTTACGATTCATTTTTAAAAATGTGGATGCGACGAATATTGACATTGCATTTCAAAATATCTGTGAACTTTGAAATGTACATCATGCACTCAATAATTTAATGGTTCTGGAAAAATTCCATTTTCCCTAGTCTGGTCACCAAACGCGACCCTGCGACTTTGGCCACCTCCGCGGGGATTCCCCGCCGTGTTATTTAGGTTTCTGCGTTGCCGAATTCACTCTACACTGCCCGGACGCGTTTAGCGAGTGTCCGGCAACGTCGCGTCATGGGCAATTTCATTTAACATAAGAAAATATAATTAATCTGTCCGAAATAATTTGTTTTCTTCTGGAATTTTGGGAAATATGTTGTTCTAAAAACTACTATAATTTTTTAGACACTTTCAATTGACAAAGTCAATTTTTTTTCAATTTTTTCAGTTAGCCAGTCACTTATAATTAAAGAAAAACGACGCGTGACGGGGTTTCCCTCATAGGGTGACCAATCCAGGCTTAAAATTCTGGAATTTTACTGAATTTTCAGTGAAACCTGAAATTCCACGATTTTTCCCCCTAAATCGCATTTAGTGTCAATATCCTGAAAACTAGTAGTCAACTGTCCATGAAATTTCATTTTTTTTCTAACAGTGTGTTTACTCGTCCTTGAAAAAATAAATAATCTGGATTATGTTATTTGAAAATGTCTCAGAAAAAATTGTATATAAAGATGTAATTCTACTGATTTTTTCAAGGAAATAGTTTCTATCGGACATTTTCAATGAAAAAAACGCGCAGTACGAAATTCATTAGTGAAGCGGTGAAACGGTTTAAGGGGAAATGGAACCCTGCGCCCATATGAACTTTTAGAATTGTGATTTCTCCTGCGCTTCTTAATTTTTATCTATGAAAGTACTTTATCGACTTCATCATTACATTCTTGAGTCAATGAAGTAGTTTCATAAATAAAAAATAATAATTACAGGAGAAAATACAATTCTAAAAGTTCAATATGACAATAGCACCCAAAAGTTAGTCCGTATGGATTTCCGGAAAAAATTCTAAACGATTCAATTTATTGCATTCTCATAAGTTACTGAGTTTTTCTATCCTCATGTGAGGGCAACAATAACTGTTTGAATCAAACAAGAAATTGAAAGCATGTCTACAAAAAATTTATAAACAATTAATTTCCCACCATGAAAATCATTTGTTCGGAATTGTAACAAATTTATTAATATTCAGAATTTTATCACAAATCGACTTCATTCCTAAAAAAGGGATCTCCAAAGGTTTAAACAATTTTAATTAGTTATTTATAAACAACGAATGTGTAAAAAATAATAATTCTGTGCAAAATGTAATTCAAATGACACTGAATATTCCGTTTTTTTCCAAATTTTTCTCAAGCAATTCAATTGACAAATTTGATGATTGAAAATAGTTGAATCTGTAGTGTAGTCTCTACCAAACTGTAAAAAATACTTGGATATCTTTAAACCATTTTACCACTTCGCTACTGAATTCCTCAATAGAATCAGCGGAACTCTAATAGAATTTTCAATAGACGTTCAATAGAAATCCTATAGAACTTTCTATCAAACTCGCTAGGTTTTTCTATAAATTTTGCATGGCGTTATAAAAAAATCAATGGAATTCGATTTGTCTACACAACTTATTCTAATGAGAGATTGTCTACCGAAATTCCTATCGAATTCTCTAGGTTTCCCACGGAATATTTTCGTCTGTGACGTTGATTAAATTAAAAAGTGGAATCTCTCTCCAAAAAAATCATGTCAATGATATTCTCCGTACCATCATAATCTCCCATCATTGCATTATTTCCTGTCTGTATCCACTGACGCCTGAAGAGAATTCCTCTCCGCATTTTCCCATTGTCCTCAGTTCCATTTCACGGATGAAAAAATTTGATAAAAAACCCCAGACAGATATAAATGAGTTGCGCGTAAAAAATGTCAATCAGTCGTCAATACATTCGCCTCTGGCGTTTAAAAAAAGGGAGAGAGCAGGTGGGACCTATTGGGCTGTCTCTTTCTCAGTTAAAACGCAGTTAAACGTCCATTGGAATGCTCAGAACAACGTTCCACGCTTTCTCAAGAGTCTTTTCTGACCGGTAGCCCCATGAATTTCTCTCTCATATTTTTCTGATAGCATCACGCCGAGTTTTCATACTTCCACACTTGAAATTCAGTTATTCTAAGGAATTCCTTGACGGGGAGAAAAAATGGAACTGCTGAAATCACTAATATCTCCTGGCCGAATGATCCGATTTTCCATCACAAAAATCATTCCTTCGAAATCGTAAAAAATTTATTGATATTCAGAATTCTACCAGAAATCGATTTCATCCCTAAAAGCTAAGGTTTCCGAAAGTTTAAACAATTTCAATTATTTATTTACAAACAACGAATGTTTAAAAAAATAATAATTCTGTGCAAAACGTCATTTGAATGACGCTGAATATTCATAATTCATTTCACAATTTTTTCACGCAATTTAACTGACAAGTTTGATGATTGAAAATGGCTGAATCTATAGTGGGGCCTGTAGACATTGTAAAGATATTAAGCTGTTTCGTTCGAAAAAGGTAAATAATGAGATTCATCTGGAATTCGTGTGGAATGTTTATAATCACAATTGTATTATCTATGAATTTTCCGAGAATTGATTGCCTAGAACCAGACGGTTATTTTTTCATTAGTCTCAAAAATTGGGAATTTTGAGAGGACATGTAAAAAAGTCCTCTTCTCAATTTGTCTGCATCTGATCTTATCATCCACATCTTGATTTATATACGATAATTTTATTCTTGCAACTGGTATATAATATGGAACACTAAATATCTCATGTATTCTTTTGCCCCCATAATTAGCCTCTGGGCTGTCGGGTTTGTATACAGAAATAAATAAATAAATGAATGAATGAATGAATAAATAAATAAATAAATAAACATTGAATTGAGGATAATCAATTAATTGGGTCAATCTTGCAGTTTATAAAGTGCTTTGCATAATTTTTTAATCCTTTATTGTAGAAAGGAGCTCTATGCAATCCAGTTTATATTAATGCAATAAATTTATGACGAGAAGAAGCGTCCTTGACATTTCACACTCCCGTGATATTTAGTCTCTACTGATTTCCTGACATTCATGATTTGTTTCCCAGTTAATGGACAGAAGAAGAAAGAGGACGACAAGAAGGAGGAGGAGTTCAAGTGCCCAGAGGGACAGGGAAATGGTAATTTCGCTGATCCTGCCACGTGTAGGAGATTTTACCAGGTAAAAATGATGAACAGTATCTTCGTTGTGATTCAGGAAAAAGAAAATGAAAGTTTAATTAATCCACTGATATCTTGTTTTCTTCGTTTTAGTGTGTAGATGGATACCCTTATTTAAATAGATGTCCCTCAGGACTTCATTTCGATGACATCAGTAAATTCTGTACGTTTAAAAATGAAGCACGATGTGGTCCAATACCAACCAGTAAGTTCAGCAAAATTAATGTCTAATGAAGTGTTCGAAAATAATTAATATAAATTAATTAATTTAGAAGAAATGAGACTTTTTCGCAAATGTCGCTGGAAGGAAAAGATTTAGAAAAAAATGTTGCAAGACCTTTTTCGTAGAGAATTTCAAGAGTTACAGGGGACGATGGGGTAAAATGGACACTTTTGACTTTTTTTTAAAATGTTAATAAGGGGTTGAAATGTTGATAAAATTTAATGATTTTTTTTTTCAGTACAAAGAACAATTCTTTCCCTTCGTGCCGAGCCTTAAGTGAGCTCAATTGATTAATTTGTTTCTGAGTTATGAATAATTTTTAAAAAGTCCGGTGTCCATTTTACCCCACCCTCCCCTAAGAGTGTTCTTGAGACAATTTTCTCTAAATCTAATAGTTTTTGAAACAAGAATTTTCAGCTTCATCTGTCAATTCTCAACGCCCTTTTATTAATTACGCAACTATCTGGTTTTACTGCACGTTTTTTAGTAGAAAATGCCCAATAGAAACTATTTTATAGAAGAAATTATTAGAATTTCATCTTTCTGTACGACTTTTCCTTGATATTTTTGTTATAAAAATCCAATCTATGACACGAATTTTCTGCGGGTTTTCCATCTTATTTTTCTCCACAGTAATTCATTTTTTTCAAAGATTGGAAAACATGAAATGAGAAGACGATTATTTAAAAAAAGAGCACTTTTTTTCATTTCATATACACTGGCAGAAAAAATTCATTTTATCAAGAGAATTTTATTTGAACCAACCATCATTTGGTTAATTTTCAAATGAACATAATTTTATAGTCAATATCAATTATTAGGTTAAAAAAAATACTACTTTTCCATATTTGTGGTGAATACATGTGACTTGGCGCCACGGACTGTTTTATTTGATTCAAGGAAATGTATCTCAAGAAGAAATAATTAATATTCATCGTAAGATCTTATTTATTTAAAATTGGTTCAAGTACATAACATTTGTTCTGAGAAAGAACAATTTTAATAAAAATAATTTTTTCTGACAGTGCACATCTTCCAATCTTTACAAATAAAATTGTACTCTACAGAAAAGAACATTAATCATTACCATTCTCCACGAGGGGGAGAAAAATTTCTCAAATCGGAGATTGTGTTAATAATAGTTTACAAAACCTAATTTGAATAGAAATGCAATTGGAATTTTCTACATTTTTCTGTAAAATTTCTTCATACATGAATCTTTATAATCAACAAAAATTATTTTGACATTTTTCTCTAAACCTAGCAATTCCACAAATTTCCAAAAAAATTTATACAGAATTTTGGAATTATCTCATCTCATTTATATAAAATTTGGCATATTATATATTCACGTTTTTTGCAATCGAATTTCAGCTGAAGCACCTGCCACAGAATCACCAGCAGACTTAGCTAAACGTTGTGACACAGCAAATTGTGACTTACCCTATTGTTTCTGCTCACGTGATGGTACCATAGTCCCTGGAGGAATTCATCCCGAAGACGTGAGTTTATCTACCTGCATTATTTAATTGAAATTCATATTCATATTAATTTTGCCTCTGTGTGCTCATTCCCAAGGTGTTTATTGATGTTCATCAATTAGGACATTGCTTGTTTATTCAAATGCATTCTCATTCCCATTGCAGACACCCCAGATGATTCTCCTGACCTTCGATGGTGCGATAAATCACAATAACTTCGATCATTATCAAAAAATCTTCAACAAGGATCGACTGAATCCAAACAATTGTCCATTGAAAGGTACATTCTTCATCTCTCATGAATATTGTAATTACAACATGGTGCAGAGCTTTGCTCATGATGGCCATGAGATCGCAACGGAAACAATATCGTAAGTTGTATTTCACTGAATAAAAATAATTCGAATATTTTCCTTTCGAATATGTCAGATAATTTTTCCACTCAGGAATAGTTTCTTCCACAATTATTCATTCTCGAAAAAATCCAACAATTCACGACTTCAGAATTCACGACTTCGACAGAATTAATTCAGTAGTGAAGTGGTAAACCGGTATAAGTCGATTTTGACTATTGCCCAGTTTTCAATGAATATCTCAAAATCTAAGGGAAATAGCAAAATCTTTGTCATAAACTTTTTTGTAGAGCAAATTGAGCGCTACAAAAAAGGAGATCACAATAATTTCGCTATTTCCCTTAGATTTTGAGATATTTATTGAAAACTGGCCAATAGTTAAAATCGACTTATACCGGTTTACCACTTTGCTACGGAATTCCTTCAAAAATCAAATTTCCTCCTATCAAACGATAATTTTTTTTCTTACTCTCCCAAACACTAGTGACTTCAAAAGGAAATGTCAAAAACTTATAATTTTCTCCTAAAATCGTTCTTCAGAATAATTCCATAACGAATTCCTTCGCCAAAAGATTGACATTCACCCCCAGAAAAGCCATTTCCAACTAAAAAATTCATTAAACTCTCCCTCAAGATTGCAAAAAGGTCTGGAAGACAAAGGCTACGAGGAGTGGGTGGGAGAGATGATAGGAATGCGTGAGATTCTCAAGCGTTTCTCCAACATAAGNAATCACAATAATTTCGCTATTTCCCTTAGATTCCGAGATATTTATTGAAAACTGGCCAATAGTNCAATAAATATCTCGGAATCTAAGGGAAATAGCGAAATTGTTGCAGTTTCCTTTTTTGTAGCTCTCAATTTGCCGGATAAAAAAGTTTATGACAAAAATTTTGCTATTTCCCTTAGATTTTGAGATATTTATTGAAAACTGGCCAATAGTTAAAATCGACTTATACCGGTTTACCACTTTGCTACGGAATTCCTTCAAAAATCAAATTTCCTCCTATCAAACGATAATTTTTTTTCTTACTCTCCCAAACACTAGTGACTTCAAAAGGAAATGTCAAAAACTTATAATTTTCTCCTAAAATCGTTCTTCAGAATAATTCCATAACGAATTCCTTCGCCAAAAGATTGACATTCACCCCCAGAAAAGCCATTTCCAACTAAAAAATTCATTAAACTCTCCCTCAAGATTGCAAAAAGGTCTGGAAGACAAAGGCTACGAGGAGTGGGTGGGAGAGATGATAGGAATGCGTGAGATTCTCAAGCGTTTCTCCAACATAAGCACGAATGAAGTATCGGGGATGCGTGCCCCCTACCTAAAACCAGGAAGAAATACCCAGTACAAAGTGATCGAAGATTTTGGATACATCTACGACAGTTCAGTTGGAATATCACCCCTGAAAATTCCCATCTGGCCGTACACACTGGACTACAAAATCCCACATGAGTGCAAGGCTGGCACCTGCCCCACCAAGTCCTTCCCAGGTGTCTGGGAGCTTCCCCTGAACGCCCATTACGTCGAGAGTTACGAGGGGGGTCACTGTCCCTATCTGGACCAGTGTGTTCTTCATAATCATGACCCCGAGGAGGTGTTCGAGTGGCTCAAGGAGGATTTCAACAGATATTACGAGCAAAATCGAGCTCCCTACATGATGCCCTTCCACACTAATTGGTTCCAGATTAAGGAGCTGGAGAGAGGACTTGGAAAATTCCTCGATTGGGCTGTTACATTGTGAGTAATTACAATTTGTGACCAACCGATTTCTAATGATTTTTAGCCCCTCACGTACGGCACCGATATAACGCGGCTTGTCCCAAGGGCCGAGAACTTATGGCGCGTCAACTCCGTTATTCAATGAACGGTAACTTGAAAACAGTCGAACGAAAAAAATTGAAATAAAATGCATTGGCTGTGTTGAACTTTGAAATAAATTCCTAGAGAATTTCCTCATTTTTGACACCAATTTCAATGTTTGCCGACAATTGGTTGCCGAGATCTTCGAATATGCTGAATTTATTTATAACAAACAAATTATTCAACAAATCGAAATTTAACTTCTGCCATTCGATAGAAGGATCATTGAAGTGTTTTCAGTAAAAATTTCAAAATTTTTAGGGGAAATTTTGTCGATAAACGAGATGATTTAATATGATTGAATCGGTTGGATATAAAATTTTCATCTACAACTTTTCTTCATAGAAAAAAATATGAGGGGAGGGTGGGGTAAAATGGACACTTTAGACTTTTTTAAAATTATTCATAACTCAGAAACAAATTTATCAATTGAGCTCAGTTTAGGGTCGCCGCAAAGGGAAAGAATTGTTTTTTGTATTGAAAAAAAATTGGATTTCATCAACATTTCAACCCCTCATTAACATTTGAAAAAAGTCAAAAGTGTCCGTTTTACCCCAATCTCCCCTATAAATGTATTGAAAAAAAAACTTCACTGCAGAGACAATTCCATTGACTTTCCAAATGTCAATATGTCTCTTAGGATTCGAGAAAATGATTTTTTACTGTCGACGGAAAGGGTCGATAGCATGGCTTGACCCTGGCCGATAGGACAAGTTTATGAGTCGATCCATGGCATCGATGCCGTACGTGGGAGATTAATGCAACAATTTATTCAACAATTTTCAAAAATTCCCGCAGTTCTCTCAGATGTAAACGACTTTGAATAAAAACAGATTGAGAAACAGATGTTGATTAGAGTAAATAATGTTTTTGCAGAAGATTACGAAAGAATTTGTGTTTTTAGACCTGACGTATACTTCGTCACTGCAACCCAAGCCCTGACTTGGATGACAGATCCCAAACCTCTGAAGGCTCTCAATAATTACGAAGGATGGGCATGCAAACAAAAGGAGAATATTCCTGGGCCACCTTGCAATAATGCTAATAAATGCGCTCTTGATTTCAAACCCGCAGATGCCAATTTCACTGCCACAAGGTAATACCCAAATTTTTCCTATTTTCTCGACCCATTGATCAATAAATTAATTCAATAATTCGTATATTTCTCCGATTCACCAGTGAATTCGACAATTAATCAAGTGGATGATTCAACTTTTTGATTAATTTCGTTTTATTCATCTGTATTAGGTACATGGAGACGTGTACAGAATGCCCAAACAAATATCCATGGCTGGGGGATGCTAAGGGAACAGGTCACGCCAACGACATTTACACTCCCGAGCAGAGGAAAAAATAGAAACATCTCTAAAAATCCAAAAATCGAAATTACATTCAATTGAACAGATGAATAAATTCAAGAATTTCATTTACGCATGAGAAAGATCGAAAAATAGAGTATCAGTTGTTGAACAGAATGCCTCCAGTGTGCCTCAGTCTCATTCACGTTGTTCATAATTGTACGAATGTCTATTGAGTAATAAAATATTGAAACGAAACCTGAATTCGAAATTTTCACCCCAGTTTTGTCGTTATCGTGACAAAAAGCGGATTTATGATGAGATTTCAAGAGAAGTATATTTACTGTTTGAAAAATTAAAAAGTGAAATTACTGAGGAAGTAAATGATAAAATGATGGAGCTTACCGGCATGCGTTTTCGAATAATTTTGTATTTTCTTCGGCTTCATTTACAGGGGATCTTTCCGTCTATTCATTCGCATACTCAAATGTACAGAGCTGGACATTTCATTAATCATAATAGTCTAATAAAAAAAATTACAGTTGATCTAACGCATGGGCAACCACTCGACCAGTACTTCGCCCCATTTCTTGCGCTCTGAAAATGTCAAAACAAACATAATTAACAAAATTATCAATTATAATGAATTAAACGTCGAGGAGAACATGGCGAGGATTTTCTATAGCTGACAAAATTCTCTGCAAAACTCTGTCTGACATAGTTCACTGATTTAATTTTTTAGTTTAATATTGAGACACAAGTTTGATTTGAAAGAATTTCAAGAACCAATTTATCAACTGAGTTCACGTGTACAAATTTTATTTAGAAAATTTTATTGGATTTCTGTTGCATTTTTTATTAGTTTTGCGCGTTTTTTTCAGTAAAAATGTTCAACGGAAAATATTCTATAGAAAAACTTAGTTTATTGAAATATTTTCTACAGAAATTCGGCTCAAATTTTCTGTTTTTTGTTCAATTCCTTTAATGAAGAAAGAAGAAACATGGAGTGGAAAAAACGTCGGAGAAATTGAGTAGAGCGATGAAATTCTACCAATTTTTCCTATCAACTAGTTTCTATTGAACATATTCTATTAAAAAACGCTTAAACGCTTAAAGTAGAATGGGCAAAAAACTAATAGAAATTTTCAATAAAATAGAAAATTCCACTGTAATTTTCTATCGAAAGAAATGTAATTAACGTTTCACCCATAATTAAATGTGTAAATGAACTCACCTGGCGGTGGAAAATCTTCAGGATGACGAATGATGTAGTCTCTCAGGATAGCATCCCTCTCACCCAAGATCCTTCTCTCACGTTGCCTCAAATACGTTCCAACTCCCAAGCCAATTAACCCCAGGGTGATGTGAGTTTGAATTCCTGATAAATAAAATAGAAAAATTTGATTAAGGCGAGACAAAGTCATATGGACGTCCTTAGATCATTGATATATTCTGCTTTAGTGATATGATTTGAACGAATCAAGGTTTATTTTCAAGTTTGAAAAAGAAACTTACAAAATAAAAAAAAATCGTGAAATTTCACTCTGTCAATGTCAATTAATTCTTCATAAAAATAAAAAAAATCAATTCTTCCTCAACATCTATAAAATTATTTAATTAAATTGATCCCAGAAGGAAACAGAAATTGTAGAAAATAATAAAATAATAAAATTGCAATTGCTTCCCAATATTTATAGAATTCTTAAATCAAAGAGACAAAAAAACAGAGAAATTGTAGAAAATAATGACAGTCAGAAAGAGAAGGAGTCATCATGAAAAAAATTTTTTTTTAAGAAGAAATTATTTAAAAAATAATAGATTATAAATTGAAAAACTAATCAGTTGGAACAAAAATAATTATTTTTAAAATTACGATGGTGATAGTGAATTCTGATATTATCCAGCGATAAAATAACAGCGAAAAACATTGTAATAAACGTCAAACAATAAACGGTAAAAAAGAAATAATATCCTTTCGAAAAATGAAAATAACAGTTCTCATTCCAGAGCCAATTATCTGATGTGAGTTTAAATTTCTGAAAATTAAAATAAAATAAATTTTATTTTATAGATTGGCTATAGATTGGCTATAAGTAAAGTCAAATACACCTGCTTAAATCCTGGATATCTCGTGACCCAACGATATGATTCGAATAAATCAAGGTTTACTTTCAAGCTTGAAAAAATACCTACAAAATGAAGAAAAAAATCGTGAAATTTCACTCTTTCAATGTCAATTAATTGAGATTAAAAACCCTCTATCATATCCCTCTACTCTCTTCACAAAAATAAAAATAAATCAATTCCTCCTCAACATTCATAAAATTATTAATACAGGTGAGGTTGGGTTAAAATGGACCCGTTTGCCTTTTTTTAAAATATTAGTGACGGGTTGAGATGTTGATGAAATTCAATCTTTTTTTTTCAATACAAAAAACAATTCTTTCCCTTTGTGATGAGCCTAACCGTGAGCTCAATTGATAAATTTGTTTCTGAGTTATGAATAATGTTAAAAAAGTCTAGTGTCCACTTTACCCTACCCTCCCCTAAATAAATTCCAAAAAAGAGAAATTGTAAAAATAATAACCATCAAAAGAAGAATACATCATAAAAAAAAAATGAAAAATCAATTGTATGAAAAATTATAAATTAAAAAACTGATCAGTCGAGACACGAATAATTATTTTTCCAACAACGAGGATAATAATAAACTTCAATATTATTCATCAGAAGAATCCCAGCCAACAGTATGTCGACAATTTGTCGACAAATTGTCGATGTCCAGTTAAATTTTAGATGGCACTGGCAAAAATTGTTTCCTGGTTATGACAGAGAAAACCATTACAATAAATGAAAATATTCCTGAAATAATGAAACTGACGATGAAAACTGTAAATTCTGAGAAAAAATGAGACTAATGAATGAAAAGGGAAATGACATCCTTTGGAATTATGAACATAACAGTTCGCCTCCTATATTTTGACTTTTAACTCCGAAAACGACTGTTGCATAACAAAGAGTGAGGTTACGTTCCCCAGCAACAACTCCCCTCATTATTTCATCCCCCAAACGAATGACAAGTGATTCCAATAGATGAAACAGTCTTATAATAATTGAGTCGATCGTTGTTAAATGTTCTTCCGTTAAAAAAAAGTTGAATCATCAGAGAAATGACTTACCTGCCCAGACGGGTCTCCTGTACAAGAAATTCCCGCTGACTGGTATTAAAACACCGAACATGGTGCACCATGCTTGATGAAAGTACCTGGTCCAGACAGATTCGACGTAATCAGGCTCTCTCTCCAGAATTTTTAATGCCCAGGACACATCATTCACCTTTCCGTCACTCATTATTAACCCCTGGGCACTCCGGGCACTCGATTGTTCGACTCCGAATGCTCCGAATCGACAGGTGAAAGCTGGATTCTCATGCGCGACCGTTTGTTAAGGGCAGACTACTATGAGTTTTAAAAGTTACGGGCAACTGGAGTGAGATTTTCATGCCATTGAAGATCGATTAAATATGTAGAAAAACGAATAATTGGTGCAAAAAAATTAATTGTTTATTGTTCGTTTGTCCCGCAGACACTTAAAGTAGCTCTACCCTTACGGTAAATTCAAAGGTTATTGAAAACTGCAAAAAATTGCACAAAACTCGATTAGATTCGGAATTCTAATTTTTTTCTCAATTTAATTATCGTTTTGGTTTTTCAAAGAAGAAATGTTTAAAAAACGAGATTTAACCCAGTGTTTTATGTGAAAATCAACATTTCCATTGTAATTAAAGATTAAAATCTGAATTTTTTTTCATTAGATGTGAAAAAATCAAGAATTTTTTTGACACAAAAAATAATCCACCGTTTTGCAAACAAGTTTTATTATTTATTTATAAGAGGGAAATGTTTGAAAAACTACCACTATTTTGGGAAATTTGATTTAGATAATACTGACTGGGTATGAATTTTTTCAAATTTTTTCCATGCAATTTAGTTAAAAAATTTATAAACTGAAAATATTCAAAAGTACAGCGTAGCCCGGCCGAAGGGTAGAGCTACTTTAAAATATTAAAAATAGTCTGGGGCGTCCAACTTTTGAGCTATAGAGGTTTTTTTCAAAATTTTTCACAATGAGAATTTAATTGTTGAATAATTTATTCGGAATCGCCATAATCCTTGTCATCTTCTTCTTCGTTTCCCTTTTGCTTTTTGTGTTCGTTTTCATTTTTAGGGATATATTATGTACTGTATACTATTCTATACATATTTTTTACAATACAGAACTGTATTAGGGGAGGGTAGGGTAAAATGGACACTTGACTTTTTTTGAAATATTCATGACGTGGTGAATTGTTCATGAAATGGAATAATTTTATTTTTCAATTGAAAGAACAATGATTCCTCTTTGTGATGAGCTTAGACTGAGCTCAATTGATAAACCTGTTTCTGAGTTATGAATATTTTTAAAAAAGTCAAGTGTCGATTTTGCCCCGGCCTCCCCCACATTTTTTTTATTGTTAAAAAATAAAAAAATTGCAATATAAAACATATATGTATGGTATATATAGTATAAATTATATAATATACACATATATATTGTTGTATTTTTTTTTAAAAGAACTATATATTTTTCTATTACAGTAAGAAATGAATTTCCCTTTTTTTACAATTACTGTAAACAAAAAATTATAGTACATAAAAAAAATATGCATAGACATCATATTAAGTTACTTGATAACCGGAATGGAGTATTCAAAAATATTTATACTGGATTTTTTAAAAGTGAATTTCATTTTTATCTTTTCTCATTTTTCCTCAATTTTTTACATTTCATCGTTTCCTGAAATGTCTGCAAGAATTTAATTCTTTTCTCACATTCATATAAATAAGAAGTCGCGTTTTGTTTAAAAATTTATTCAAAGTCTGGTATAAAAAACGACTCCTTTGTCAATCTTTTAATTTATTTATTTTTTATTTATTTTAAACACAAAAAAATTGGTAAATCCCAATATTCAATTTTTTATACAATTCCATTTATACAATTTTGTATACACCTAGGTGAATGCAATCGGGGGACCAAAAAAGTCTGGTAAATTAGTTCCTTCTCATCGCAGTTCGTGCGGAGAATAAAATTAACTATTTACATTTTCCCCATGAATGAATTCTTATCATAAAACCCGGAATTCCTCTCATTCTGCAATTTGAATTTTCAATTTATGAAGTCCCTCACAACTAGTCGTTGAAAATAATTCACCACCACTTGTTTCATCCTCGAGAAAAATCAGCTTTCACAATCAAATCAATTAATTACAGTGGAATAAGTAATGGGATGTTGGAAGGGTTCAAACAATTCTAATTTATTGTCAAATTTCTCAAACTTTTACAAAAACCGATTATTTACTCCACCGTTAGCATCCATAGATATGAATAACATCATAAACTAATCGATTATTCCAGTACTGAGGTGCCGCCTTGAAAATCGTGTACTTTTCAGCTGTGAAAATTTCCTAAAAATAACGTCTCTTCACATTCTTCGCTAAAATTCGTAATGGCCCGGATAATTCCAAGAGAAATGAATGTCGAAGTAACAAATCTCAATAATTCCCTCAATCCCAAAGGTCTTTTTAGCCAGAATATCTCATAACATGCACGAAAAAATTTAATAGCAAAACCTAGCGAATTCGTTAGGAAATTCTATTGGATTTCTATTTAACTTTTTATTAGTTTTTGGCCGATTCGATTGAGTTGTTCAATAGAAAATATTCAATAGAAATTGTAAAATCCAATGGAAATTGTGATATATTTTACATTATGAAGAAGAAAAAACAATCGAGATAGCGCTCGAAAGATAACCCCCGGGCCTAAATTTTCTTGATGAGCGGAAAAGAAATACAGAAAGAAAAAAAAATTGGAAAATTTGAGCCGAGGAAATTCTATAGAAAATATCTGAATAGAATGAGTTGTATAGAAAAATCGAATTCTTCTGACTTTCACCCTACAATATTTTCTATTGAACATTCCAATAGAATCGGCCAAAAACTAACAGAAAGTATCATAGAAATCCAATAGAATTGTCTCGCGAATTTTAGGTTTTTCTATTAATCATTTTCACCGGTGAATCTGCACGAATTTTTACTCAAAAAATTCTCCGAAAAATGTGTGTCCCTCATAAATGCCACGATATTGCCAGAGAACTTTCCCTAAATTCAGGTTTCACTTCGCTTCATTCCAATTCAATAAGTCCCAGGTCGTTAGCATTATCATTAAAATGAGAGGAGTAAATTGCATGACCTCTATTTTCCAATTACGTCGAAGCCCCGATGACGAATATCAAGGTTGAGGTGGATAGTAGTTGCGAGGAGGATTATTGGGCAGTGGAGGTGGTGGAGCTGCTCCACCAGGTCCTCCAGTGGGTGGATTGCCAGGTGGAAAGTGTACCATGGGTGGGTATCCATAGGCTGGAAACGGTGCTGGTGGGGGTGCAGTGGGAGTTGGGGGATTGGAACGAATGGGGGGTGTAGGGCCCAGACGAATAGGTGGGACAATGTGGTTCATGGGATTGACTGGCGGTGGCGGTGGTACCGATATGTTCGCTGGTGGAAACACAGCTGGGTAGGCAGCAGCCGGCGGAAAACCCCCTGGATACGGTGGGAAGTGGCCCGGCATCTCCATGGGTTTCGCTGTGTCAATTGGTTCCGTTGGGAGACAACCGTTTGAGGCTGCCGCCACGACGGGAATCGTCGAGTCAATTTTAGGAATTTTGCAGGGGGTGACAGCTGGAAGCATTGCATGTTAAATTTTTTTTATTGGTTTGAGTCGATTTTGACTATTAGTCGGGCTTCAATAAATATCTCGGAATCTGAGGCAGATAACAGAATTTTTGTTGTGCTTTTTTTTAGTAGAGCAACTTGAGCGCTACAAAAAAGGCCATCATGAAAATTTTGCTAGATGCCTTAGATTGGGGGAAATGCTCGAAAACAGTCGAGTTAAGGATATCCAAGTATCTTTTGCAGTTTGGTACAGACCATATTATTGATTCAACCATTTTCAATCATCAAATTTGGTAATTAAATTGGGTGAGAAAAATTTGAAAGAAATTATGAATATTTTGCGTCATTAAAATTACATTTTCACAGAATTATTTTTTTGAACATTGGTTGTTTATAGATGAATAATTGAACGCAAATGAAAGCTCCGATGTCCGACTACACAAGTAGAAAAGCATTTTACTGGAGAAAAAATAACTAGTCAATCCTCAATTTTGTCAATTAAATAGTGTGAGAATAAATTGAAAAAAAATTCTTGAATATTTAGCGTTATTAAAATTGCATTTTTCACTGAATGATTATTTTTTTAAATATTAGTTTGTTATAAATAAATGATTGAAATTGTTTCAAATTTCGGATACATAATTTTTTTAGACATGGAATCGATTTCTGATAAAATTCTGAATGTAAATAAATTTGGCGCGATTCCGAACAAATGATTTTTATCGTGGACAAATGATTGTTTATAAATTATTCATAGAAAATCCTCGTAATTTTCAAAAATTGCAATTTTAAAATCATTTCATCAATTTTCCTGATGTTTTCTAACGGTTCAATATCGAGATTCAAATTCAAATCTGCAAAGTATAAATTATAAAATCATTGTAAAATGATTTTATCGCCAATGAAAAGAGCAAATGAAAGCTCCGATGTTCGACTGCAAAAGTAGAAAAGCATTTCACTTCAGAAAAAATAGCCAAAGTACTTGGATATTCTTGAATGGTTTTACCGCTCCACTACTGAAATGAGAAATGTAAATTCACCGTTTGGTGTGCTCGATGCAGATTCGATATTCGGCACAACAACTGCAGTCTCTGGTCCTCGATTGTTCGATGGGATGAGGGGCGGTGAGTCGGGGGTCTTGGCGTTGTTCGTTTGGGAGTAGAGATCCAGGACTTGGTGACAAATATCTGGAGATAAGAAATTAATCAGCTGCACACATTTTCAATTAAATTCAGAAGCTTTAATCCGCGATTTTCAACATATTTTAAATTAAAACTTGACTTCCAATTTTTCTTAGTGAAATTTAACGATAGAAATTCAGTTGATTACCCTCTAATAAATCCATGGTGACGTCTTCCACGAACATATCCCACCATCGCAGATGTTTTGGCTGACGACCGTTCCAATCCACAACCTCGAATTTACTCAGTTTACCTGCTAGGTACATGAGAGCCACAGCTATTATCTCTGGCTCCCACTGGAGTGATAATGTCGTGCATAAACTGTCGTTTACGAATGTCCACGCCATTTGCACCATTTTTTGGAGTTTACCCTTGTCTCCTGTATTCCAACAATCAATTTTAACATAAATTACGAAGAAAATGGTAATAACCACAAAAAAACAGAGATCTTTGGCTTTATGAAGCATAAAAATCAATCTTGAAAAAAAAATGTTTCATTTTTATTGATGATTAGGAGCGTTTGCTGATGATGTCATACCTTTCAGACACTTGGCATATTTCAGGAGATAGCTGTAGGGATGTTCCACCTGTAGATCGAACTTAATCGTCTGCAGTAAAATCCTCTCCAACGTCATGACTTCCTCCTGTCAGAAACTAAATTACTCATAATGCCGTACTGGTGAGCCGTATTCAATCATCAATTACTCCTGATTGGCAGAGTGAATTTGGACTTATTTCTGCCATTTTGAAGGTATTTTTTCTAGCTTCAAAATGAACGCTGACTCATCCAAATCGCATCGTTCGTTTCAAAGATATTGATGATTGAACATTCATTCCCTCGTAAATTGAATATTTGATTGTTCACCTTGGGATCTTCACCAAATGTCAGGAATTTCTGTTCAGTCAGAAGTGTCTTAGCAGTCTTGATGATGTCCTTGCACTTTTTGGGTGTCTCCTCGACCTTGCCAGCCAGGAAAAGACAGCAGCAGGCAGTCACCTGGGAATAAAATTAGAATGAAGAGCTGAATGTCTGGTTTTTCGCTGGAAAAACCTTTGTGTCTCAGGGAATTGATTACACAGTACATTTTTTTTTAATTTTGAAAAAAAAATCGCTGTAACTAAAAAATTGGGGGCCCTGGAGTAGTTTTAACGTTTTAAGCGTCTGCGGGGCAAACAAACAATAAACAATCAATTTTTTTGCACTAATTATTCGTATTCAGACATATATAATCGATCTTCAATACATGAGAAATCTGTCTACAATAGCCCGCGACTTTTAAAACTCATAATACTCTCCCCTTGAATTAATCTAATTGTGAAGACGGAAATGGAAATAAAGTGAAATAAAATAGTAGGAGAGGGTGGGGCAAAATGAAACATGGGGTAAAATGAAACAGCTGTAAAACGACTATTTGACACAATTCTAAGCAAAAAAAAAATTTTTTTATCAACTTTTGTTTGCCAACTTTTCTTATTATTGGGAATCCTGATAAGAATAATAATGTTTTATTCGTCTTATAATTCAATTGATCAGATTAGGGAGATTACACTTTTTTTTTCATTCGATTGAATTTCGCTATCACATTTTCCTTTTTCCCAATCTGGGTTTCCCCCTGGGCCTTCCTCTGGACTTTGGATTTTGCTGTTTCATTTTCTTTTCAATTAATCCATTGACAAAATACCGCAATAGTTTTCCACTCTACTGGATGGAAAATCATTATTCTAATCGATACTCCCAATAATAAAAAAAAGTTAATGAAGAAACAGTAATAAAAAAGATAGTTAATAAAATTTTATTTTGCCTGAATTGCGTTAAAGTCGTATTTTCGACTGTTTCATTTTGCCCCATTTTCCCTTATAAATTAAGTTATAAATGAATTAATGAGAGATTTGTCGACTTACATATCGAGGAAACTGTTTGAACGAATGGAACATGTAGAATCTATGGAAATAAACGACTCCAGTTGCCATTGTATTGTAGCCAAGCTCCAGTTTTGTTCCAGTATCAATGATGAATCTGGCCCCTTCCTTTCTGTACCTGCACTCAGTCTCGTAGTCAATTCCATCCTGTATCGATGGAGTATGTCGTAATTCTTTCTTATCATAGTACCAGCAAGGCATCTTCGCCTGATCACTCGCAAATCACAGGCTCCAGTGCACTTTTATTATCGATAGAATGCTTTATAAACACCGATACATCTGTGAAAACCGATGTTTTGGGGGTTCTGTTGAGCTGAGACAGTATTTGTTGATTGAATGAAAAGTTTTTGTTATTTAATACTGATTGGGGAGAGTTCATGCAGTGGATGTGCACGAGATTATCTGCACGTCAACACTTAAAACACGTTTGCTATCATTTTCAGGGACTCCGGGGCTTGTTTATTAATTGTTTATCAACCCCAGCACGGAGGGTGTATATATAGGTTAAACGTGTCCTTGGACGTGTGTGGGAAGGCGACAGCAGTACGTAGTAGTGCTCAATGGAGATGCGGCCGGAGTTAGTAATCATTACATATTTTAAAGGAGATAAGTAGGATATTCGAAAAATGCAGCCAATTTCGTGAAATTTCTTTCATGTATTGTTTAATCCATTTAGGCGACTCTTGCAAAATTTCAGAAAGCCCAGGTTCAGGACTACAACAAAAGTGAATTCTGAAGTTGCGATGTATGCATGAGGCTAAAGGGAGCATCGATAGCTTGTACATTTTCCCTACATTATCGGCTAATCGGCAATGTGGAAAAAATACTAAAATGATGATGACCTTGATGAACGGCTAGGGGAGAGTGGGGTAAAATGGACACATTAGACTTTTGTTTTAATTATTCATAACTCAGAAACAAATTTATCAATTCAGCTTAGTTTAGGCTCATCACAAAGGGAAAGAATCGTTCTTTGCAGTGAAGTAAAAATTAGTAAATTTTATCAACATTTTAACCTGTCATTAACATTTAAAAAAAAGTCAAGTGTCCATTTTACCCCAACCTCCCCTTTCGGCGAGAACTGCCGAAATAGAATTTTTTTTTTCACCTGGGGCCAAAAGTGTCATCTTGGATTTTTTCAGGGGAAAAAGTCGACTTTCGGCAAAATCGAATTTTTTCGCCGAATCAAAGTTGATTCCGACTATTCAAGTGGCGGGCTATCCATAACTCTCAGTAGTATGTGGGAAAAGTAAAAAATAAAAGTTTTTTTTTTCACTTGGGGCCAAAGTGTCATATCTTTGATTTTTTTAGGGAAAAAGTCGACTTTCGGCAAAATCGAATTTTTTCACCGAGTGAAAGTTGATTCCGACTATTCAAGTGACGGGCTATCCAGAACTCCCAACAGTATGTGGGAAAAGTAAAAATGAAAAAAAATTTTTGAATTACCACTGATTCAACTTTGGGATGAAATTTTATTATTTGTTCCTGGGATAAATTTGAGATACTCTCCCGGGTAAAATAATCCATCGAACATCCAAATTTACTTTTGTTCTCATCCGACGTTTTACACGGACGAAAAAATTTAATAGAAAAACTTATCGAATTCGTTAGAAAATTCTATTGAATTTCTATTGAACTGTTCTATTAGTTTTTGGGCGATTCTATTGAAATGTTCAATATGAAAATATTCAGTAGAAAAAGTCAATAGAATTCAATTTTTCTATGTAACTTATTCTATTGAGATATTTTCTGTGGAATTTCCTCGACCCAAATTTTCCAAGTTTTTTCGTTTGATTTTATTGATGAGAAGAAAAGAAAAACAGAATTTAAAAAAAATTAAAAAATTCGAGTCGAACAAAATCTATAGAAAATATATGAAAGAATAAGTTACATAGAAAAATCGAATTGTGTTGACTTTTTCTATTGAATGTTTTCTATTGAACATGTGAATAGAATCAGCCAAAAACTAATAGAAAGTTTAATACAAATTCAATAGAATTTTCCAATGAATTCGATAGGTTTTTCTCTTAAATTTTTTCGTGCGTGTAGTTACCCGGAGCTGGTGCAACCGGGCCTAATTTAAATTTAAAAGTGATATTAACTAATAATTATCATAGGCTATCCCTGAACAGAAGAAAATTGAGGAATTACCCAATTGCAAATACACTTTCCTTTATTACTCCCTTAATAATATAGCCATTACAATCTTCAGCCCTCTGAAGATGTTGATGTCAACGTCTAGGATAATGTGAAGTGTCCACGATTGACTGTGGCACAGCTGGAGATGATTGCGAAGCAGTTACGAAGCAAATAGGGTTCAACAGGGCTCGAGGTGGTGCCACGTACGGCGCGAAGGGCTGAATTGAATGAATCTTCGGTCGCTCAGGTCTCGCTCTGCACCTTGCAAGATGCTCGAGGACTGCTGGAGGCAGGGGTGGAGGTGGCACTGAAAAATCTACTGGTGGAATGATTGCTGGGAAGAACTGAGGGATGTCCCCTGATTTCGGTGGGGACTTCTGGGGATCTGGGGGGTTTGGGGCGTCCTTCAGAGCTCGTGGGGATGTGGTTACACCTGGAAACATCATCGACTTGAACGATTTTACCGCTTCGGTACTGATTTCTTCCCATTTATGCTGGGTTTCTGTTAATTTCGGCTGATTTACCTGTTGGAGTGTCTGGTACAGCCTCGATACTCGGAATAACTTCACCATTTTCACCTGAATTATTTGGCGAATCCGATGATTTATCGGCGACAGGGGATTTTTCGTTGCCTGTCGTTGGCTGATCGTAAGAGTCGAGAAGCTGGTGACAAATTCCTGAATGCGAAAACAATTAATCCAGTTTATTAATTTGTCAACTTGTTCAGTGAATAATTAGGATTCATGGAATGATTCCCTCAAGCCTCAATTAATCAAATTCTTTACTAAATTAATGAAGAGTGATGATTCAGTGGCTCTTAGCTGAGTTTTCTAGGAATATCTCCGGATCTAAGGGAGAAAACAAAATTTTTGTAATGAACTTTTTTGTAGAGCGAGTTGAGGGCTACGAAAAAGGTGATGACGAAAATTTCGCTATCTCCCTCTGATTCCGAGATATTCACTGAAAACTGGCTAAATGAATGATTTGAACCGTTTTATCCCTTCGCTACTGGATTATTGTTAGTCAGTCAGGATAATTGGAGTATAGTGATTTTATTTCACCAATTGGGGCACCTTCTAGCAAATCCACGGATACATCCTCCACGTAGGCATCCCACCACCTGAGACGCCCCTTACCATCCACAAGAGTGAATTTTCCCAGTTTTCCGGCCAGGTACATAAACGCAATTGCGATTATTTCGGGCTCCCACTGGAGGGCCAGTGTTGTGTAGAGACTGTCACGTGCAAAGTTCCAGGCCGACTGAACTATGTTTCCAATCCTCTTTTTGCTACCTGGAGATTTAAGGTCTAGGATTTATTGAATTGTCTTGATTGTGGAAACAAACATTGATGTTTTTTGTATTATTTTTATTTTGATGGAACATTAATTATTCCTTCGGAAAGGACATGTGATGATTTTTGCTTCCGAATGGAAGCATTGGGATCGTTCAAATTTAAGTTTTGGATTTTTTCTATTATATCGACCCGTTACGATCCAAAAAGTCCAAAAATGCAATTTTTAAACCAATTGTTTGCTAATGAATGGATGGGAATTGAATCTTTTTATTTTTCAAATGTAGGTATTGTTGAGCCCAATCGATCGTATATCGGCCATTAATTAAAATTTAATTACTATTTAATTAATTCATCGATTAACTTTTTCAATTTTTTAATTGTTTCGAAAATCGCTTGTCCCACAATAACTAAAAAAATGTTCTGAATTGATTGAATGATGGCTTAAAAAACTTGTTTGGATGTCCCTCTGACTGAGTTCGAAGAGGAAGACAATAGGAATAATCGTCATGTTGATTTATTCAAAAATAAAAAATAAATAGTATTACAAATTTTTTCTAATTTGAAAATCTGACAAAATTAGGTAAAAGAAAATTTGATTCAATTCAATAAAATGAAATAAACAATGAATCATAGGTGATAGAAGGAAATAATAATTTGCTAATTTATTAGTAAAAATAACTATACTGTATACAATACAAGAGCAATTTCCCACTTGTTTTCATTTAGATTCAAAACATGAATTATCTCTTGGACAAAATGAACCGTTTTTAATCGTCAATAACTCAATATTGGCAGAGTGAAATAGAACTATTTTTTTTCATTTGAAAGATATTATTTTAGACTTCAAAATGCGAGCTAATTCATTCAAATCGTATCGTTCCATCCCAAGATAATCACAATTGAAGTAAATTGAAATATCTACTTCCATTAAAATCGAGCTAATTAAAAATTTGATGATTCATAATTTATAATCGTCAATAACTCAAGATTGGCAGAGTGAAATAGAACTTTTTTTTTTCATTTTGTAGATATTATTTTAGACTTCAAAATGCGAGCTAATTCATTCAAATCGTATCGTTCCATCCCGAGATAATCGCAATTCAATAAATTGAAATATCGACTTCCATTAATCGAGCTAATTAAAAATCTGATGATAATTTCTCACCCCTGAGGCACTTGGCATATTTCGGAACATAATTATTGGGATGGTCCACCAGTAGATCAAACTTGATGGTATGAAGCAGAATTCTCTCGATCGTCATCATCTCCGTCTGCTCCAACCGAAAAAAAGAAAACAATCCCACCAAATGTCCCCCACAAAACAACTCTTCTGCCTTCGTTCCTCCATCAGGCCCGAAAAAATGGTCAGTAGGGGAGGGTGGGGCAAAACGGACACTTTAGACTTTTTTAAAATTATTCATAACTCAGAAAAAAATTGATCAATTGAGCTCAGTTTAGGCTCGTCACAAAGGGAAAGAATTGTTCTTTGTATTGAAAAAAAAAATTATTAAATTTTATCCACATTTCAACCCCTTATTAACATTTTAATAAAAGTCAAAAGTGTCCGTTTTACCCCAACCTGCCCTAATACTATTTAAAAGTATTATTCACCCTAGGATTTCTCCCAAACTTCCTCAACTCCTTCTTATCCAGCAGTGTCCTGGCTGTCTTTATGATATCCTCGAACATCTTGGGTGTCTCCTCGACTTTTCCAGCCAGAAATATGCACGCAGAGGCTGTCACATAGCGAGGAAATTCCTTGAACGAATGGAACATGTAGAATCTGTGGAAATACATGACTCCAGTTGCCATTGTGTTGTACCCAAGCCCCAGGTTCGTGCCGACATCGAAAATAAATTTTGCACCTTCCTTTCTGTATCGAGACTCTGTCATGTAGTCAATTCCATCCTGGATCGAGGGTGTGTGTTGCAATTCCTCTTTTTCGTAGTACCAATAGGGCATTTTTTCAGTCATTCAGTCCCTAATCAGACTCCAGTGCCCCTTATTCTTCCTATTCAATTTATTTCTCCAATAACAAATACTCAGTTAATTCATTTATTAGTTAATTCATCAGCAGATTCATTTATTTCGTGATTCTTCGTATTCTGTTTACTTCTGCAATAATGAATTAACGATTAAGGGGTCTCCGCAGTTGCGATGGGCGCGCGGGTGAGTGGAGTGTGAAATAGTCAAGTTAGTGAGGTTAGTTTCGAGAGAGACGGGACATCAAACATGGCGTATGTTGGATAATGACAGACATCGCCATAGTATTTTTATCATTAATTTATTGAACAAATCAACGATAAAACCGAATGGGACTTTGTGCCCATATTGTTTAGGGCTTAATATAGACAATTTAGCTTCCTTTGCTGGCTAGCACATTGTCAACAGTGTGAGGGGTATGGGACAAAGTAGCGTCCATAAAGGTTGTGTATAAGGCGCAATTTGAATAATTAATTAAACACGAACGAAATCATAAAAGTAGTTAGAATTGCTTGCAAATATCTTTTTAACGTTTTTGATTACTATATGATATATTTAATTCGCAAGCACATTGTCATATTTTACCCAAAAGTACTGCGGAGAGACCTTAATTATTATTTTTCGTCAAGAAGGAAAACAAAATGATAACCACAAAGTCTAGGGGATTTCGCCGGATCTAGGGACAAAATAGAAAAAAAAATCGTGCGGGACGGGACTTGAATTCCTCAAAAAACCTAGATTAAGAGTTTTAAAAAATCCTCCTCACCACTCAAATGTTCATCGTTCAAGGCGACGATCGATCATTCCCTCGATTCGATCGTCCCTCCCATTGCCAAGATCATTTTGAAAATAAAATCGACAGCAGTGGGGGTCAGTGGGAATGGTCTTCTGGTGGCGATGGCAGACACTAAAAAATAAAGACTGAATTTTATTCCGCGCCTTCACTCCAACAACTTCGAATGCCTTGTTACGTGGACACTGTGATTATTAGATTTATCAATTGTTTGTCGCTGAAATGAGACACATTGTGGCGCTTGATGTGGGAACCACAACTGTACGCGCTCATGTTTTGGATGAAAATGCTGTCACTGTTGGGAGTTTTGTACAAAAGGTTTGTTTATTTATTGTTACGTCGTTTGGGTGGTGATAAGGAGGAGATTAAAGCACTTGGTCGTAAATTGTTTTGATGGTTTATTTCGCAGAAGTGGTAAAGGGGATGTGTCAATATGAAATTTTCAGTGAATGCAATTTTTTTTTGTGTGTTGTGTGGGATTTTTGGGGATAATGACGAGAGATCTTGATTCTTGCTGATTAGAATTCTAATGAAGAGGTATTTTGATAAATTCTTTTACTTTTTGCAGAATTTTTAGACCATTTTTCAGATTATAGGCGATTAGTCTTATTTATCAAGAAATTCCTAGGGGAATTTCCATTATATCATAATTTCAGATATCATTTTTCAGATTATAGCCGATTAGTCATATTTATCAAGAAATTCCTAGGGGAATTTCCATCATATCATAATTTAAGTAATAATATTAAGAATAATATAATAATTTTTATATTATTATTTCATTATTGTTTCCTGCACAGGAACGAGTATTTTTTTTCGTAAGTCACATTAGTTTGACAAACGTGACATGTCGATATGAAATTTACATTGAATATAATTTTTTATTTCGTACGTTATGAGGGATTTTTAAGGGAAATGACGGGGGATCTTGATTCTAGCTGATTAGAATTTTAATGAAGAGGTATAGTGATAAATTCTTTGACTTTTTGCACAATTTTTAGACCATTTTTCAGATTATAGTCGATCAGGAATATTTATCAAGAAATTCTTAGTGGAATATTGTTTCCTGCACAAGAACAAGTTGTTTTTTTTTGTAAATTTCATTAGTTTGACAAACGTGACATGTCAATGTGAAATTTATACTGAATATAATTTTTTATTTCGTATGTTATCAGGGATCTTTGGGGAAAATGACCAGAGATATCTTTTTAGCTGATTAAAATTTAAATGAAGAGGTATCTTCATAAATTAAAAAAAAATTTTGATTACTATTTTTGGGATTAAATTGTCTAAATGTCAGGAAATTTTGTGATTAAAAAATGATGATGGCATCTGGGCTTTTGTCGATTAAACATGATTTGAAAAAAAAATTTATGTGACATCGCAACCTGAGCAACGCCCTCCCCCCTTTCGTCACCGAGCGGGGGGTGTTTTTAGGATGAATGTCCTTATCCTAAAAACTGCTCCTCAACAGGGATAACCATATCCATAAATTATAATTAATGTTAAATTATCAAGTAGTCAATTAGTTAAAATCATTTTTGAATTTTAATTATTGCAGTAATCATCATTTCAATAGTCATATTTTGAATTATTCATTAATCAGTAATTGAATTAGAAAGATTAGTGATTATTTGTATAATCGGAAATTCCTTATAAGAAATTTAGTATTATCTACTCAATAAAAAATTTATAGTTCCATATTTTTAAAGGTTCAATTCATCACCAATTGGCAATTTAGATTATCAATTAATTTACTATTTTTAAATTTCTATTAGTATATTGAAACCTTGATCAACATAAGTCAGAAATTCTTTTAATATTGAAAAATCGGAAGATTGATGGCCATCCCTGCGGCTCGATTTTCCGTGAAATTCCAATGAGTTATAATTTCCCAAAAATGTCGAGTTATTCATAAAGAATGACTGCTCGATCTGTCGACAGAGCGGGTTTCATCAAGCGTTCATTTAATTGCCCCAAAAGTTGTTGTTGAGGTATAAAACCGGTACCTCAAGGTAAACCCCCACACAGTAGTTTCCAGAAGGATTCTATTCGTTTGTAACACACATGAAGCTCTTTCCTTACCATTCAATTGCTGACATTATTGTTCATTCGCGAAGAATGCCTTTGTTGCATTTTTTTTACTGTCATGATCATTACTCTTCGTTCGATGATGATTAAGCGGTGGAATTGAACTATGTTTTGATCGAAAGGTCGAGCTGATTTATCCGAGGCCTGCTTTTGTGGAAATCGACCCCGATCAACTCTGGAGTGCGATTCTCCGGGTGCTGAAGGGGGCTGTTGAGGGTAAGTCATCAATTTTTCTGAACACTAGAACAATATTGTCTTCCATGGGTGCTAGAATAGTTAAACCTTACCGTTTCTCACTTTCATTAACTTTTATCTCAATAATAATGGAGGAAAAATAATTGGTTTCAACAAAGTTCTTCGCACACTGATAAAAAAAAATTTCTAATATCTGAAACATATTATCTTGAGACAAGTAATTTTTATTGAAATTTTTATTTCTCCCAGGCATCGCAACTCGCGAGGCCTCAGAAAGGTCTCATGCTTTACAATATTCGCGTACTCAAGGATGATTTCACACATGAAAAAATTTAATAGACAATCCTATGGAATTCGTTAGAAAATTCTATTGGATTTCTATTAAACTTTCTATTCGTTTTTGGCTGATTCTATTGACATGTTCAATAGGAAACATTCAATAGAAAAAGACAACAGAATTCGATTTTTCTTGCTCGACGCAAATTTTCTAAGGTTTTTTCATTCTATTTTTCTTTCCTTCTCATCAAGAAAATCATACGAAAAAATTTAGAAAATTTGAGCCGAGGAAATTCTATAAAAAATATCTCAATAGAATAAGTTATATAGAAAAATTGAATTCTATTGACTTTTTCTACTGAATATTTTCTATTGAACATTCAATAGAATCGGCCAAAAACTAATAGAAAGTTTAATTGAAATTCAATAGAATTTCCTAACGAATTCGATAGGTTTTTCTATTAAATTTTTTCGTCCGTGTTTGTCGCAAATGAACTCCCTCAAATCGCGTAGAAGAATTTTGAATCTTCAAGTATTTATCATTTTCATGATTTTTTTGTTATGCAGTTCCAATATTTTGATATGTAATATATTCATGATATAATGCGAAACGATAACGATAAATGAGAATCATTCTCATTATTTTCGGTCGTAAAATTCAAGGATCGAAATTTTGTCTTCAACTCAAATATCAATAATTCATCTTCATGAGTGATTATCCCGGTCGTAAATGTTTTGATGCCACTTGCAGCGAGTGGAATCGACGAAAAATCCATCGCTTGCCTCGGTATTTCTACACAACGCGGGAGTTTTATATCATGGAACTTTGAGACTGGAAAGCATTACCACAGGTGAGTCGATTGATGATCGACACCCGAGGATTACACGTATGAAAAATTTGAATTAGAAAACCTAGCGAATTCGCTAGAAAATTTTATTGGAATTTTATTCGATTTCTATAGGATTTCTATTGGAATTCTATTGAAAAATTCTTTTCATTTTTTACGCTGATTCTATTGGATATTCGATAAGAAAAAATCAATAGATTTCGAATTTCTGCTTGAATTTTTCTCCTGAGATTTTCTCTATAAGAATGCTTGGGCATCAATTTTCCAAGTTTTTTCCACTCGGATTCTGCAATGCAAAACAAAACAAAATCCAGCGGAAAAAACTTGGAAAATTTGTGCCCAATAATTCTAATAGAACAAATCTACGAAAAAAATTCAAACAGAAATTTGAAATCTATTGACTTTTTCTTATTGAATATCTAATAGAATCAGTGCAAAAAACAAATAGAATTTTTCAATAGAATTCCAATAGAAATCTTATAGAAATCCCATAGAATTCCTATAGAATTCCATTAGAATTTTCTCATGAATTCGCTAGGTTTTCTATTGAATTTTTTCATATGTGTAAACTAATTAAATCGATTCACTGAATGGAGAATTGATCGATTGACTTATTCATTGGTTCATTGTAGATTCATAACATGGAAGGACTTGCGTGCAGACTCGATGGTTCGAGAGTGGAATTCATCATTAACGATGAAATCCCTCAGAATGGGATCACGCATACTTTACACAGTCACACGTAATAAACGGTTTCTCGCGGGAAGTGTGTTGAAGCTTATGAACACCCAGGTTTGAGTGTTATCATTGATCTGTTCATTTTCTTCTCTTTTCAAATTGCGTGAGAACAATTTGAAAAAAATCATGAATATTTAGCGTTTCATTTTAATATTAAATTTTTTTATTCAATATTAAATTATTCATAGACAATGCTCGTAATTTAAAAAAAATTCAATTTTTAAATTATTTCATCAATCTTCCTCCACAAGTAAACTTCCTAATTTTTCAGATTTTTAAAATGTTTTCTAACGGTTCAATATCGAGATTCAAATTCAGACCCGTAAAGTTTAAATTATGAAATCATTGTAAAATCCGGAAAATTAGGGTTAAATGGGGTTCAAATGAAAGCTCCGATGTTCGACTACAAAAATAGAAAAACATTTTACTGGAGAAAAAATAGCCAAAGTACTTGGATATCCTCAATTAAAAATTCATCGTAACTCGTCACTGAATATTCGTGATTTCATTGAAAGTTCAAATAGGTTGAGGAATTCCCACTTCAATGGTGTTAAAAAATTTGGACACGGAGAGAAATATTCAATAAAAATTACGTATCTCTTCCGTAATTCCGGAGCGAAACGTGATTGTAGGAAATTTTGCGGAACTGTCACGGAATTTTTCCGGAGCGTTCCGTAATTTTTATCTGAATCTTCTGTGAAAAATTACGATATCGTCACTTAAATTTTCTGAGTCCATTTCGTAATCGGTGAGTGAATTGTGAGTTCCGTAATTTTCACTGAACATTTCTCTCCGTGGAATTTCACTGAATTTTCATCGAAATCTGTAATTGCAATTTTTTTCTAAGTATACGCTCGAGCCGCGTTGACTGACGATTGAATGTCTTCAGTGAATATTCAGGCTTATCTTCGTTCTACGTCGGTTATTCACAGGCATTTGCGAATAATGCCCGGCGTTATTTATCCATGACCTTTGACGCATTTTAGATGACGTTGCGCTTAGCTTGGGCGCTCGATCACACTCCTGGGTTGAGAGAGGCAGCTGCGAGTGGAAAAGCGGTGTTCGGGGGTGTGGATTGTTGGCTTTTGTACAAACTCACTGGTAATTCATTCATACGCTGTTAAAAATTTTTGTCTGAAATTTCCGGTACACTTTTTGGAAATTTTTATTAAATTTAATTACCACTGGAATTTCAAGGAATTTCGTCATTGAATATTCAGAATTTCGTGGAAAAATAAAAGAGAATTGTAAATTTCAGTTCCATTTTTCTCTGAAAATGAATAGAAAACCAGAAAATTTCGGTAAATATATTCTTGAATTTTTAGGACAGTAACACTGAATGCTATTTAGGGGGAAAAAAGTGGAATATTGCTTTCAATTTTTATCAATTATTGTACCTGTTTTTGCGAATAAATCAGCAATATGTTTCCGAATGGATGTAAGATCCCCATAAGATGACAATAAGACCTTCATAAAATTCATAAAACCTCACAAGACCCCCATAAGACGCTCATGAGACTCCCATAAAACACTATTAATCCAAGGTTGACGCACGGTCCGTGCAAGGTTGGCGCAAGACTGGTCCAAGGTTGGTCCAATGTTGGCGCGTGGTTTTTTTGTTATAATTCAAGAACTGAGAATGGCATCGAGACCATGTTCGAACTCGGTCTGGATAACGTGAATACGAATATTTATAGCCCAAATTCAATCGATTTGGACAATATTTTTTTCAATTACCGTGGCAAGACTGAATCGGTCACACATACACACACACATACATACATACATACGGACGTGCTCTAAAAACATCATATTCTGATTCCTGAGCCCAAAATTAGTCATCCTAACACGAAAAACTAGAAAATTTAATTTTGAGGAATACAATGCTTCCATTCGGAAGCAAAAATCACGAAAGTTCAAATTTCACTGAAAATTCAATATAATTTGGCACTGAATATTTATATTAGATTGATAATTACAATAAATTAAGGAATTCTCGTCTTTATGTCCCTTAAAATTCTGGAATTTTACTAAATTTTCAGTGAAACGTCAACTTTCATGATTTTTTCCCCCTAAATCGCATTCAGTGTCACTGTCCTGAAAATTAGTAGGCCACTGTCCGTGAAATTTCTTTTTTTTTCTAACAGTGTAGACCCAATGATTTTTATCAAGAACTTATCGCCTCTTGCTGTTTACCGAGGATTTTTCGCTCTTCCTAAGGAAAACACATCACTGATGTCTCGAGTGCCGCAGCAACAGGGCTCTTCGATCCCTTCACAATGGGGTGGTCGGGTTGGGCCCAGGATCTGTTCAAAATTCCCTCATCAATGCTCCCACACATCGTCGATACTGCCGGGAATTTCGGCGAGACTCCTAAGGACATATTCAGTGTACCAGTTCCCATCACCTGTTGCGTTAGTACTGTGACACTTTAATGAGGTTGATGAACGCTTTTGAGGTCAATTGATTCAGTTCACCGGGTGAACGATTTGTTCGTCACTTGTGTAATGTTCAAATTGAATAAATTCTCATCAATCCATTGCATTCATTCACATTAATTATTATTACATCATAATAATCCGATTAAATTTGTAGTTTTCATCCTCAATTTCTGTCATTTATTCTATTCATTCTATCAAAAGACAAGGATAGAAATCGAATTTATGGGTATTCTTCCACTATTTGAAAAAATATATCGATTTTAAATATTTCCAGAGACATTGAAAAATTAATTTTTTTAGTTCTTGCTGCGCACTGTTTTTTGCATTTATTGAATTTCTTCTCGCTGAAATATTGATATCTCTCTAATACTTGGAGAAAAAAAGTGATTCGAATTTCCCGCCGACGTAAAGAAAAAAAATCAATTTTATTATTATTTTTGTTTTATTACTCGAATGAGATTTCGAATGACTTTTGTTTTGTGTGTTTGTGTTGATCATGAAAAAAACACTTTTCATTGATCTTTAACAATAATTCCTCTTCAATCAATGTTGTAACTTGTGAATTAAGGAAAAAAATTTATAATAAGAATAAGAATGGATAAAATTGTATTGATCTGATTGTGAATACGGAACTGGAAAGAAAATAAATTAAAATAAGATATATTAATCTAGTGACGGGAGCGAATAATTATCTTAACCCTAGTTTGGTCACCACAGAAGGGAAACGCCGCAGAAGGTCGATTTTTTTTTCTTACCATTGACTGGCTGAGCGGAAAAATCCTAAAAAATTGGAATGCGTCAATTCAAGTGTCTAGAAAATTATAATATTTTTAAAAATTATTTATATCCACAATTCCTGAAGAAAAAAAATTATTTCTAACAGACGGACAATTTTTTCCCATGTTAAATGAAATGGTCCGTTGTGCGACGTTGCCGAAGTCTCGCTAAACGCGCCCGGGCAGTATAGAGCGAATTCGGCAACGCTCGGGCCTAAATAACACGGCGGCGATTCCCTGCGGAGGTGACCAAGTCGCAAGTTCTCATATGGTGACCAACTAGGGTTAATACTTATCATAATTATCTTAGCACTTCGTTGGTTGCGCAAAAGTTACGAACGCTGGTCCAGCGTTTTTTTATGTCCAGTATTACCCTTAATTATATATTCAATCTCAAAGTTGCCAGGTTTTTCTGAAAATGCGCCTTATACACGAGACACGGCCCTGAGTGTCGGAATAAAAATCTGAAAATCCAACTACTTGTGATATTTTTTGCGGATATTTTCATCGATAGGGCTTCTAGACATTTCAAAATGCGATGACAAATTTTTTCTACTTTTTCTCAGGCTTTACTGCAGTGCTATTTAAAAAATCGAAAAAAGTGCGGCGCGGCGCTCATAGCGCGACCAACGGAGTGTTTACTTATCCCTTCTCTGCTGAATTTCAAGTGCCAAGTAAATTAATTTTTTTTTGTTTGGAAGAGGTCCCAAACTAAACACAAATTGAGCTACTGGAGAAATTCCACTACCAGAGGAATATTCTTCTGCAATAACATTACAATTCTTCGAATTTTATAGATGGCTGATCAGGCAGCATCACTATTCGGTTCCGGCTGCTTTCACCCGGGAGACCTGAAGGTCACCATGGGTACAGGAACATTCCTAGATGTTAATACAGGAGGTCAACCTCATGCATCCGTCGCAGGTGATTAAAAAATTGTTTTTTAATTTATTGCATTTGCCCACCTCTCCTGAGGAAGCTTTTGCTGTTCCTATAGAGGAGCAGTAAAAAATGCAATATTTAGAGAATCATTCCGATAATGAAATTGTGATTTTCCATAGTAAATAGCCAAATTCTCAAGAGAGTCTGCAAAGAATTCCCAGAGAATAGGGGAGGATGGGGTAAAACGGACACTGAACTTTTTTTAAATTACTCATAACTCAGAAACAAATTTATCAATTGAGCTCACACGGACGAAAAAATTTAATAGAAAAACCTATCGAATTCGTTAGAAAATTCTATTGAATTTCTATTGAACTATTCTATTAGTTTTTGGCCGATTCTATTGAAATGTTCAGTAGAAAATATTCAGTAGAAAAAGTCAGTAGAATTCAATTTTTCTATATAACTTATTCTATTGAGATATTTTCTATAGAATTTCCTCGGCTCAAATTTTCCAAGTTTTTTCGTTTGATTTTTTTAATGAGAAGAAAATAAAAGTTGGAATTATTTCGAAACCAACATTCGGGAAAAGGTAAAAAATTTTAACGTTGGGGCAATGTTAAATTCAATGCCTCATTGAATTCAATTTAAAATACATCGTCATAGAAATTCCATTCGGAAGTAAATTGCTAATTTATACATGAAAATACAGGGTGGCACCAGCACCTTGTTTACAAACTGCCGGCAAATATCGAATAGAAAATCGGGAATTCAATGATACAAAAATGACTAAATTCCGATAATAGACTTTCAAATGGTGAACCTCAGAATTTTTCAATACTTCAGCCAATTACATTGCGATTAACTACTGCCATGATTGGAAACGATGACGCAGTTGTCAATGGGACATGATATTATAGTTAATATCAATAAGAGCGCTTCATGTTGATAAAATGATTATGCATGTCTGAGTATCACACACCTCTTGTAGACCTTTTTCAGACACTAAAAAACGTCTGAATAAAATGAAAATGTATCTAAATTTCAGGCGAACAGGTGTCCAAACATCTTAATTCATGTTTGAAATCCAGACAAATTTTCATTTTATTCAGACGTTTTTTAGTGTCTGAAAAATATCTCCAAAGGTGAGTGAAATTTAGACATTCGTTTTTGTTGTGTAATGGTGCTCCAACTATCTCCAACAGTAAATATTGCCATAATTGTACCACCGCCATTTTCAATCATGGCGGCATGGCGGGAGCCTACCACGATATTATTGGATAAATCATTGAAAAATTCTAACGCTCACTATTTGAAAATTTATTATCATAATTTCAGCATTCTTATGTCATTGAATTACTAATTTTCCATTCTATATTTCCGCACAATTTGTAAACAAGGTGCTGACGTCACTCTGTGTAGTCACCGCACTTGGTTTTCGTTTGCAACAAACATCTTCTTGTAATGTTTCGCTATATAATTCAGCTCTTGTCCTACTTCAATTTCAGGATTGTATCCTCTGGTTGCCTGGAGAATCGGCTCTGAATTGATATACGCAGCTGAGGGTGCCTCTAACGACACAGGAACTCTCATTGAGTGGCTCAAAACCATAGGTAATGCTTAATCCAACTCTCCTCGTGCATTTGGCAAGACGAATTCCCGTATTTAAGGATTTATTACATCCTTTTCGCCAAAATTCATGTTTTTTTTATTTTTCTGGTAAATTGTTGATCGGATTGACATGAAAAAATATACCGTTTTTGCGTTTTATCATTACTTAATGACTCACGAAATTTCATGATCGTGCAATCATTTTCCTGCGTTTTTTCTAAAACTTTTCGGAAATTCACAAAACTTTAGAAAAAATGCAGGAAAATGATTGGACTGACATGAAACTTCGTGAGTCAGTCAATAATTGTAAAATGCAAAATCGGTATATTATTTCGCGTCAATCCGATCAATAATTTGCCAGAAAAATGAAAAAAAAACGTAAATTTTGGCCGAAAGTGTGTAGTACATCCTTAATAATTCATAGAATTGTTTCAGGCATTATAAAACAACCTGAGGAATTATCGGATCTTGCGGACTCGGTGGATAGTTCCGATGGCGTTTATTTCATTCCTGCATTCAGTGGCTTGCAAGTAAGCAGAAATTTTCAGCAAAATGTGGTCACGCATTTTAGTTGTAAAAAAGGAAGACGTTTTCTCGAGCGTAAAAATTTGGTGCAATTAAGACCACTTGTGTTTCAGGCACCAATCAACGACCAGTCAGCAGCGACAGGATTTCTGGGCGTTAAGCCCACCTCAGGGAGGGCTCACATGGCTCGAGCCGTTTTAGAGAGCATAGTATTTCGAATTTTATTGCTCTATGAGTCACTGTGCACTGAGATACATCGAACTTACACTTGCATTCGGTAAATGAGAATTTTTACCGAATCTTCCTAAAAACACAACAAATGTTTTTGCAAAAAAACTGCGTCAAGAAAAAGTTTTGTTTGGTTCTTACTGGAAAGTAGAAAAATACAAAGGAATGAAAAAGAAAACCAAGTCAGGAATGTCGAAGGAATGGCCTCAATCAGATTTCTATGAGGAAAATAGTTTCAAAACGAATGAGAATGTTGAAAAACTCCTTCTATTAAGGAAAACGAGGAGAAAATATATATTTTTTTACGGCCTCGGAGAGTTCCTTTTTGGGTCCCATTCGGCACTCTATCCAACCCTATGCATGCGGCTGTGGATTCTACACTGTACCGCATTCGCACTCCTATAGAACACTAGAGCTATGCGCGCGCTGATCTATTCATTTGTTGAAATGAAGAAATGGAATTCATTAAATTTAATTTTCTCATGAATACCTTATAAATATTGATAATGAATCAAAGAGAATTCGACTAATGATTGAAGTGAATAGCGAAGTAGAGTAAAAGAATCTATAAAGAATTTTTCATTTTCAATTAATTATCTTCAATTTTTTAAAATAATCGCTCTCCATAAAAGGACAGAATTTATTAATTTCACCGATGATATATATACATGTGAAATATATATATTGTAGCGTTTCTCCCTTCAAATTCGAATATGTAACAGAAGACAAGGAACAGAAGAAGGATGTCACGAGATGACGATCGTCTTGGAGGACAGACTCCACTTGATACTCAAGCCATCTTCTGTCAACAACTCTTTGTCAAATCAATCGCCCTTTTCTTTTGAATCTTGGTTCTGATTTCCCATTAAATAACAATATTATATACATATATGACGTGAAAAAAAATTTACCACTGAAGAATTTGAAATTATTTCACTGAAGAATTTGAAAATGCCGCGTGTTTTTTTTGTGAATAACTTCGTGTCACATATTGACCAATCAGAATTAAGGATTAGCGGTCAGGCAGTTTCGAGATATTTCGATATAAAACAACTTCACGTTTCTTTCATCTTTAGTAAATAGGAATTATAGAAGTAGCATGGGGAAACCACAGAAAACCCATGCCGGTACAGGCGGTTCCTCTATTAGCAAACTCCCGCTCGCCGGAGCTTTCCGTTGAAAAATTCGGTTCCATGGGGAATCGAATTCACAACCTTTCGCACACTAGGCTTCCGTCTAATCTACTCGGCCACCGACGTCGGTCGAGGAGAAAATATGAATTTGAAAAATGAATATCTCTGACCATCAATTTAGTTAGAACATTTATGCATCACGTAACAGTCATTTTTCATCTCTAATCATTACAGCGTGGATGGAGGTGTATCTCAGAATGACTTTGTACTACAATTACTCGCTGATTTGACTGGTCTACGAGTTGAGCGACCCTCCACCGCAGAAATGTCTATTTTAGGCGTTGCGTTTCTCGCCGGTCTTCAGTGTGGTAATACGCTTCTTCAACTTCACCTCAAAAACTTATTAGCTATTCAAAGAATAATTTCCTCGTAACAATGTCATCCCTCCCATAGCAGACCGAAGCGAGCTTATGAAGTTGTGAAACTTGAGAAGTTGGAAAATGTATTTAAACTGTATTTCGTACACGGAGAAAAAAAATATCACCGAAAAATTGCAATACGCATTTGAAGATGAAAAATGTTTGGCTAAAAAAAAGGCTTCCAGGAATAGCTCCTCATAATATTTTTTCTGTCTCCAACTTTATCAGCTACAAAACAACCTGATGTTTTCATAAAACCCAATAGTTTCTTAGACATCCTAAAATAATCAACAGATAAACTTCAGCTTATCTTTCATGATTCATCATTTTCTCCTATAAACTCTTTATTTCAGACATTTGGAAGAGTAAAGAGGAGATGAGAAAGCTTCGAAAAATCCAAACGGTCTTTGAGCCGAACAAATCGAGAAGACTCTCGTATCAAGCGACGATAAATCAGTGGAAACGAGCGATGGACAGATTCCGGAATTGGTACTGATAGCAATGAAACGTCCGCCAAGTACCTGTTTCCAGTTTATAGTCTAAAATGAGAACGAGGGATTTTTCCTGTGACTGAATCTGAAACTCTGTAGTGAAGCGAAAGATTAGTAATAGAAGATGAAAGGTCGCAATTATAAAAAACAAGCTCAAATTGAGACTTTCGAAAATCTTAGAACGAGACTTTCAAATGTTTCAAATTGAAACTGTCAAAAGTCTCAAGTTGACAGCTCAAGTCGGCAGTGAACTGCTGAACCAATTCGTGCCTACTAAACAATTCCTACAGAAGACTTTTATATTCATTTACAACTTATGAAACTGTTGAAAAAGACACTAGGTTACGATTATTAATGCATTTATATAAAACTTTACCAATAAGGTTTGTTGATCGTTGGAAAAATATATATTGTTGATGAAAATTGAAGAATCATCGTTATTTTCCCAGAAAGAAATGGAAATTTTTATTTATTTTTCAGAAAATTCCATGAACTACAAACAACATCCCGTGAATATTTTTAGAGAATAGAAAATCAGGAATTCAATGGTACAAAAATTACTAAATTCTGATGATAGACTTTCAAATGGTGAACATTAGAATTTTTCAATACTTCAGCCAATTACATTGCGATTGATTACCGCCATGATTGGAAACGATAACGCAGTTACCAATGGGACTTGATATGATAGTTAATGTCACTCTGCATGTTGATAAAATTATCGGTTCCTGGCTCCAATGAACATTGCTCACCTGTCGCACATAATGGTGCCCCAACTATCGCGCATAATGTCGCTAAAATCATCGCAGTAAATATCGCCATAATTATCGTACCATCGCTATTTTATGTCATGGCAGCATGGCGGGAATCTACCGTGATGTTATTGGATAAATCATTGAAAAATTCAAACACTCACTATTCAAAAATTTATTATCGTAATTTCATAATTCTTATGCCATTGAGTTACTGATTTTCCATTCTATATTTCCTCACAATTTGTAAACAAGGTGCTGATGTTAGCCTGTATACAACTAAAAGTCGTATTTCTTTGATGATCACTGGAATCATAGCCTCTTTTATTCAGCTTTATTTCACACATCTCAAGTCAAATAAATTACAAATACAAATCACACAAAATGTCTTCTCTATAAATTATTTCTTCTCGTTTCTATTTCAGTAAATTCTCAGCATTAATTCTAATTCTTAATCAATAATTCTGTGCGACGGCTCATTTGAAAGGTTTTTTCAACGTTAAATTTTTCCCATCGAGTACATTTTCTATTTTCAATTTGTATTTTCAGCAATTTTCGGACTTTAATTAATAAATTATTTATTCTTCAATTTAGCAATTTGTGAGATCCTCACGAATGAATGGAGACAGAGAATTGAATACCACTCTATGAAACATAAATAACCGAATCATAATTATTCAAATCATTTAGGTCAGAAGAAAATAGAATAATTCTACTTTCTTAATATTGCGTTTTCTAAGGTTTTCTTCGAACAAAGTTGATTAGAATTAATAGCTAGCATTATGAGATTATCTTATACCTTTGAAGTTAAGGATAGGAGAATCTAAATGCAATATAGTGAAAATGATGATCGATTTTTTCACTTTGAACGAATAATATTAATATCCAAATACAAAATTCTGATGTGAATAAAAAGAAGCTGTGTCTCAATCTTTCAAATTAAGTTTTAATCTTTACTTTGGCGCTGAAAACACAAGATGACAATATTCTAAGCGTGGAATTATACTGATGAGATGAACAACAGATTAATTGAATTACCGTGTGAGCTAACTAAAAATTGATAACAGTGTTAATTGATTCAGTGTGCCTAGAAATTAAAACATGAGCAAATCCCAATTGTAATTTTCATATGAAAATTTAACAACTGATAAATTGTAACATGATTCTCATCGGTCGTATTGCTGTTTGCGATGAAAATGATTATAAACAATTAATTGAAAAAAGGAATATTGAATTACATAAATAATTCATCGACCTGTCAGTAATAAAATCTTCCAGAAAAAAATGTCGGAATCCAAAATATCTGGACCAATTTAAAATAATTCTCTCAATGCAATCATGATAAACGTCTCCGGCAGACATTCGTCATAAATTTTGAAAAGGTGAGACATTTCTTGGGGCCCGGAGTGAATCGAAGACAATCGAACTACCGTCGGCCGCTGATTTCCATCAATTACCATATAAATCAGCCGCTGTCCCCCTCTCAAATTTTCATTCCCCTTTTTTCCCGAATGTACAATGACCACTAACCGCTGGACGGATGAGTTGCGTAAGAACGATCCGACGATGAAGTTGCTCTTTTAGGATTTAAAGAAAACTCAAAAGTGTAATCAGAGTAGAGTTGGACTCATGCGTGCTCGATAATCCATGAACTGCTGACGTTATTTTCTCCGGTTAATTTTCAGCATTTCCAGGAGTTCTTGTTTTATTTCCGGGGTGAAGCGGGAAGTAGCTGGACATCATGGTACGTTGATCTTTCATTCCTCAGTATTTTTGTTTCTAAGGAAACGCGCGACCTTTCTCTCGCGTGCTCAGGCCTAGAACTCCAGTTATTAATCATTGAGCGGAGAAGGCAGTCGTAGGAACTGATGGGACTGCTCGGTATTTTCTAATGAGGATGATTGTATGCTATTTTTTTCTGGAATTATTGTGGTCTCGGGGGGATTTCGGTATGAGGAAATTGTGTCGTGCCGGGGAAATGTGATTGCAAGTTGAGTATTCCTGGGTATTGGGAGCTCATGTGAGGGATTTGAAATTTGTTCGAGTGATTTTTTGGTTCCGGGTGTGAATAGCCGTTCTGAGGTTTGTGAACATTTTTGGGGGAATTGAATGAAGTGAAGAATTGTTTATGAGTGAAGTGGGACAATGAAATGGGATAATTTTGGTTGTACTGTTAGGAAATTACTCCTGAAATTTCAAATGGAAAATCGGGAAGGGCATTACGACGATATAGCACTCATAACAACGACTAATTCACATGAAATTTATCGTTTGTCAATATTACTTAACATTTTTTAATTATTCAATAATCATCAATTAAATATTCAAATTCCGAATTATTTTATCAATCAATAATTGAGTTCGGAAGATTGACAATTATTTGGCTAATCGAAAATCCTTTTTATGAAATTTAGAATTATCTACTCAATAGTCAATTGAAAATGTAAATTATAAATTATTTTATTATTTTTCAAATTTCATAATTTCAAATATATTCATTTCGTTTTTTTAATATAAAAATTGCACCACTCATGTAAAATATCCTGAAAAAATTTTCCGAAAGAATCGAGAATATATTTTTAATATTTTGAATCAATTTTCTGATAATTTTCTATGGACGGTGCAATTTTTGACATAAAAAAAAAACAAAATTAGCTGTATCGGATTCGCATTTCCATAAACTAACTCGTAATTGCTATTGTACACTTTTTTTTTAATTTTGAAAAAATAAAAACCTCCGCAGCTCGGAAATTGCACTAATTATCGGTTTTTAGACATAGATAATTGCTCTTCAAAACATGATAAATGTCACTCCAATACCCCGCGAATTTGGAAATTCACAGCAGTCTCCCCTTAAAAAATTTACAAAACTAAACTTGGAATATCAATTTTTATTCACGTACAACTGAAATTATTCCCCATTCATTCAGAAATTTTATGTTCACTACAAACTCGTCTGTTCTGCACAGTCCGAAGAGCTATCCAACGATTTCACTAATGAAGCTGCCGTACGAATAGTCAATACCAGTGTTATGTATTTTTCTAACGATCGCGGTGATCCTTTCAGGCTGAGGTAACTGTTGATATAGTCGAGCAAACAGACGAGGAGAGACCAGAGATGACTCAGGAGCCATTAGAGTGTCTGATCGACATGGAGGGCACTCCTGATGTGGGTGCTGACGAGTCAGGTAAGAACAACCATTCATTTGAATTTTTTAATCAAAATTTGTTGAACAAAACTCGATTTCGAAGTCATATACATCATCATATTTGTGTCAACGTATCGACCACGTTATTTCACACATTTTTCATCAGATATGAACGATGAAATTGAGGATAAACACGAGAAATTGTGATTGTAAAAAAAAGTGATCATTTGAAAAAGAGAACAATTACAAAAAACAGTAAAGCATTCTCACCGAGTATTTTGTACTGAATTTCGTTGAAAAAATAATATTAACAACTATGGCTACATTTTATTGAACTGTCATACAAACGTTTAATTGCGGCAGTCCTTAGTCACAAGGTATTAGCAAATAAAAATAGAAAAAAAATTTTTCAACTAAAAAAAAATCATTCAAATTTTTTCCACCAGAGGAATTGTGGTCGAATAAAAATCGTATTTCAGTAAATTTATACTTTACTGGAAGATGATCAGAAAATACATTTGTCATTCAAAGATTTTAACAAATTAATTCTGGGAATCTTTTCTTCAATAAAAAAATTGATTATTCGAATGTTTTTCATCAGAGAAATTGTAACAGAATTCATGAGTGATTCTTTGAAAAGTGGAATTCAAGCTGTATTTTCAAATTGTGCAATTATTTTTTTATTGATTCAGTAAACATGAAAAAACACGGGTGAAAAATATTTTTATACATGTGTTTTTTCATTCTTGCGCCATAAATTATCTGTATAATCGCAAAGACTGTTAAGTATCTCATTTAGTTATATATTTTTGATGTTACGGTGGAGATTTTCAAGCATAAAAATTAGTGAAAACGATGAACCAATCGATGTTGTACTAAAATTTAAATATCAGTTTTAATATTTCATCAGCGATGCTTCAAAATGTGGGAAATTATGAGTGTGTCGTCTACAAATCGAGGAAATATTTCCATCTTTCAATATCTTTTAACAACCTTTGCGTGTTTATCGAGTGGTAGTTATGGATGTGAGAATAAACGTTGTTAGGATTCTTGAATATTTAACATGTTAATGTTATTCTGTGTCGGTTTTTATATCTTTTTCTGATGATATATTCTTCCAATGTCACGGGCATTTGAGCCACTCATGCTGTTATTAACGAGATGATTTCGCGGATGGAATATATTTTTGCGATGAATGTTTTCAATTAGAAAAAAATTATTCTCGATTGATGTTTCAGTAAAATGTGGTAATAGTTGTCCTTCCTCCGTCGACGAACATCATCAGAATTATAATTGGTATTGAAGTCAATTGGCAGAGAACGACGAAAAAACCTGATAATCGCTGATCATGATCATCAGTTTGATTGGATCGATTTCCAGTTTCTCATCGAGTTTATTAGCAAGTCAAGAATACCATTCCCATTGATAATGAGTTCTTCGATACAATGTTATAAAAAAATCCAGTAGTGAATAATGATTAGAAATTTCGTTTTTTTTCTACTAAAAAAATTCATTGAATTTT